TGTATATATATATATATATATATATATATATATATATATATGTGTGTGTGTGTGTGTGCATGTACAACCAGTTGGTGTGTCATGTGTTGGATTTGTGCGTATGCTAGCACAAAGCAATGAGTTTGTTTAAAACTCGAAAGATTGAGCTTCAGCAAGCTTCAACTTCTTCTAAGACCGCCTCATATTTACTTATTGTCAAACAGCTCGTATATATCCTGCAGCATTGCTAGCAGACTAATCGAAATTCAGTAGCTAGCTGCTTGCAATTATCTTCTAACTCCTATATCTCCTGCTTATAGACCCTTCACCTCCTGTTCCTTGAATTCTACTTTCTGATCAGTTCAATTCCAATCATTTTTCCAACTGTCTTTTCGTGCTAGTAGATATAATGATTGTTTCCGCCATTCTTCAGTTTGAATATCGATTTTCAAAAATCATATTTCGAGCCAAAATTCGTCAGTTTAATTCTGTAGTACTATCAGGAGTAGCTTTGTTCAATTTCGAAAGCTGGCCTAGTATTTAATAAACATGCGGCTTGAATGACTTTTATGCTTTCTATCAAGTGCAATGGTTATCAGTTTTTAATTTCTGATATGAATTTAAAGGGATCAATCATTCTTATTTCAATTTCACCTCTATTAATAATATCTCATTTTCAATTCCATCCTCACTTTTACGCCAAATATATTTCGACCTCGTTATCTCTTGGCACACTAACTTATATTTGAAATATAAAATGGAAGAATTTTTCGGAATCGTTAGCCCTTATCCAACTGACAGCATTGATAATTACTGTTTGGAAGTATTATCAAAAGCCATTCTACCATACCTTTAAACTGTTGTGTCCTAAGTTACCGAAGTATAGATGATGGTTTGTTTGTTAAAATATAAATGAAGTATTTGACAAAGTACACTATTCCAATTAAGGAACAGAAAGAACTGTAAAACAAGTGGGAGTAGGTGTGACAGGTGCGGTGATTATCAACCAAATCAAAATTAGAGAAATTCGATAGCCTCGGTTGTTTACTACTATGTCAATGATTTATGAATCTCACAAGTTCAGATTCCCCAAAATGCTGTCAAACTTTTTTTAGATTATATTAGAAATGCTGCACAAAGAGAAGTTCCTATCTGCTGATTCAAGCCTGCGTTTTATCCAAACGTTTTTTATAAAACTTTCTCATATTTGAAGTTATGGAATAGAATTGCTTGCAGTACAATGTCCATTAATATCATATTATGTCACTCATTTTTAAATTAAGAATTACCAACTTCGAACTATCGAACAGTATTGGAAACTTCCGTTTCTTTCAATGCATTACTACGCAATAGCTGACTAGATTGAAACTGCATCAAGCAGAAAAGTGCTTTAGTCTTATGTCACAATTTTTCCTCTTTTAATTAAGGCATTGAACAAGAACAAATTTAGCTTGTGCTCCTTGTATGGGAAATGTAGATGGAGAGGATAAAAGGTTTCAGTGGTGAGATGAATCTGTCAATTAATTCCTTTTCCTTCCTTTTTAGATTTAAATATTGCCGGATAAGTATTTTCAGGAGTTTTTAAAATCATTAGCTTGAAGTTAAATAAGAAGTCTACGTTTCCTCTAAGTTTTGACTCGCAACTTTTCTTCAAGTTGTCTAATCATTTACCAATATCAATTAACTAGAGAATAGACTTTTCAGCACTGCTTGACAGGCACTTCTTCACTGCAACGAAGAGTTCTATTGTCCCGGGAAGAGCCAAAAGTTCATTTTCCTCTTTCATTAAATGAAAGTGATAGGTTTGTTTCACAAATTCTTCCAAAAATTTCTGTTTTTTCTTCTACATGGATTTAGGATGTCGTGTGATAAATAGAAATAAAATAAGAATATATTTGGAGATTTTCGCTGTGATATTTTCTGGAAACTGAATTATATTTGTTTTTCAGATTTCATTCAAGTTTTCAAGTCTAAGAAATAAAGATAAAAATGACGGATAAAGAAGGGACGGGTGATGGAGAACAAGATGACATCTCGTTTTTGCGGACGGTATTATTTTTAATACCTGCTGAAAAGTGAAAAGTTCTCAGTTTGTAGTTTTTCTGTCAATTAATATCACCATATTTGCATAACTTTGTTAATAGAAAATCTATACCTAACTGAGTTTACAGGGCGATATCGTTGCAATGACATGTATGGCATCAGCTAACCGTGAAGGTGTCCTTGGTTCTGAACGAGTTTGTCTCTGCACTGAAGGCTTCGGTAATCGCATGTGTTCACTGGAAAACGTTTCAGATCGGGTGATTCTCTTGAGATTGGCTTTTTAGAACTGAAAATATAACTTTTGAAAAGATTTTAATATGCAAGAAAATTTTTTAGTAATTTTTTATGTTGAAATATTTTATCGTGCTCTCAAATCAATATTTTATTTCAGGATCTTCCACCAGATATATCTATGTGCATGTTATATATAGATAATGCGTTATCAGTACGAGCACTTCAGGAAATGATGAGCAATGACAAAGAACTGGTAAACTCCCGGTTATATCAATTTTTCATTTTTAGTTTTAATTTTTAAATAAGATGATGCACTTCTATTATGTGCGAAATTTTTAATGGTGCGGGCGTTTTATATCCGAGAAAATTTTATTCCACCTTTCTTTTCTTACTTCTTTCATTCCTTTAACCGATGAATTTAATTTCAGAGAGGAGCAGGTAGTGGCGGGGGTCATAAAACTCTATTGTACGGCCATGCAGTGCAACTCAAACATGTACAAAGTGAAATGGTTGGTTTAAGTGTGTGAAATTTATTGCTGATAAATTATCAATTTAAATTTGACCTGATATTATACACAGTTATAGATTATGATAGATGAGACCTCAACAAAGTAGTATTAATTAAGTGCTTACCATTCACCATCACATGCATGAACTTTTCAGTGAATTTCATTTTTTGATGAGAGATAAGAGATTAGTAATGATTAAATGAAAATTTGATTGCACTATAAATGATATTTTAAAATTCCTTTCAATTACGGTTACAGTATTTGGCTTGCCTGTCATCATGTTCATCGAACGACAAGTTAGCATTTGACGTTGGCGTGCAAGAAAATAACGAAGGTAAGGAATAGAAGACATTTTAGAGTAAGTTAAAATAAAATTGTTAATTGTGACAACTTTCACGAAACTTCGAACTATTGGAAATTCAGTGTGATTTTCAAATGATGCTCAATAAAATACCGATTTCGAATTGTTTAGGTGAAGCGTGCTGGTGGACGATTCATCCCGCTTCTAAACAACGATCGGAAGGGGAAAAAGTTCGCGTGGGTGATGATGTCATTTTAGTTTCTGTTGCAACTGAACGATATTTGGTTTGTTTCCTGAATTTATTTTAGGGATGTAACTGTTACATGAGAAACATTTGACAATGTTTCGACGAATAAGCCGAAAATTGCTAACAATTGTAGTGATCGAAAGCGATCAGAGGGAAATAATACTATGATGGGATGCTCGTGAAAAATAAAAGACAAGAGAATGATAGCCATTATTACTTTCGAAATTTAATACAACTTCCTGAGCAAAGGCGTTTGAAATCCATGATAAAACAATGGTGACTCAATAAAATTTTCGATTTACTCTCAGATGTTTGCATCCAAAATGATCGCTTTATTGATTTACAGCACATGACACACAGCAAAGGGTTCATGGTAATTGCATCATTTCATCAAACACTTTGGAATATCACTTCTGTAAGTTCGGGAAGTGTACGGATACGGAATATGGGTTTGTTTCGATTCGCTTTCGTAAATCTTCTTATGAATTCTTAGAAATTCCCACGAAACTTTATAAACAGAACTTCCTATTTAAAAAAGATCAGAACCCTTTCTAATCCAATTATTCAGGAGCACTTTTTGGCAATGATGTCTTACGATTTTTCCACGGTAACGATGAAGTATTGACGATACCTGAAAATTGGAGTGAACATCCACAGCATAAGTAAATATTTAGATTAAGCGTCACAATAATTCCATACAAAATGCTACTCGTTAACGTGACATTCAGTAAAATTAGTCAATATTACGATACGATTTTGCTTTAGTATGGCAATTTACGAAGGCGGAGCTGCAGTCGCACAGGCCAGATCACTTTGGCGCATTGAATTAATTCGAATCAAATGGCATGGAGCATTGGTTGGTTGGGAACAACCATTCCGGATAAGACATATCACATCCGGAAGGCATGATTCCTAAGCTTTAAAGGAAATAACACTGAGTTAGACAAAGTACCGCAAAGCTTGCCCTATGTCTCCAATAACTTCAATTATATTCCATTTTCGCAAGTGTAGAATTGCGTTATAGTACTATATTATGTTGTTATTGTGTTAAGTCTGAGTATTACCATATCTATTTTAGGTACTTGGGTGTCATGGAAAATGTAATTCAGTTGTACGACAAAGATAAAGCTGAATTTGATACTACCGCTTTCGTTATGTATCAAACTAAAGTAAAGCATTGATATTATTACTGATAAATGTTAGTGGCAAAGTAATACTAGTAATAGGGCCTGACAACTTGTAATTAAAAAAGAATTTAGGATTTAAAGAAACAACTGCTGGAAGAAAAAGAAGAGGGAATGGGTGTTGCAACAATTCGTTACGGTGAAACAAATGCTTTTATTCAGCACATCAAAACGGAATTATGGCTTTCTTATCAGGTATCTCTCCAAATAATACCTAATTACGTACATAATGACATTCTGTGGTTAGAGCCATTCTAGGTTCCATAAGATTGTTCAACCTTGAGTTAAAATAAGCTAATATGAAAAAATTGAAAATGAACATTTAAAGACCATATATATTGACCTTGTAAAAACGTCTCCTTCCAAAAGATCCATTTGAAACTTCTTAAACAATTCTTTAAAAAGCAAAATATATACATTCTTCCTTGTCATTCAATTTCACTTAATTTAGACATCGGAAATAACGAAAAAAGGTCTTGGCAAAGTAGAAGAAAAGAAAGCCGTAGCACTGAAGGACGGTCACATGGACGACTGCTTCACATTTTTCATGGCGCTTGAAGAAGAATCCAAATCGGCTCGTGTCATTCGAAAATGTTCATCCGTGCTCAATCGATTCTTGAAGTACTTTGGTTGAGACGTCTTTTTCCTATTGTAATTATTAACCACTGCTAATATTAAATGCAGCAATTAGATTACATCGTGTTTTAGGGGTATTGAAGCATTACAGCGAGAAGGCAAGCAAGCGCAGGATTGGAGTCGTGTTGATCTAAGTGAGGTGCTAAAACTCATGGAGGATCTGATCGATTACTTCTCACAGCCTAATGAAGACGGTAAATTTTTAACAAATTACAATCTTTATGTCGATCTGCTCATTACATTCTTTTGCATTGTTCAACCAATCGTTTCAGATTTTGAAGCTAGTCAAAATCGTTTACGTGCGCTGAGAAGTCGTCAAGATCTGTTTCAAGAAGAGGGTGTGTTAAACATGATTCTGGATACTATCGATAAATTCTCACAAATGGAAGCAGTATCTGATTTTGCTGGACTTCTTAGCGAGGATACACAGGTCGGAGATAGCATTATTTATTAATTCTAGTCCAATGATAATTTCGATAAAATGTTGAATTTTAGTTTATGCTCTAATAAGCTCTTAGAAACATGAAACTGTCGAAAGATTGAATGAGTTTCTCAATGTTGTTCATCAGTTGACTGTCAAATAATGGAAGAACTGATTTACAGTTTTGGCATTGGGTTCGACAATGGGTTATTTATTCAATTTAATTTTAGTTAATGTGGGAAGAAATCTCCACTTACTTGTACCTTCTTGTTGCTGCAATGATCAAAGGGAATCATTACAACTGCGCACAATTTGCATCAGCTCAACGACTCCAGTGGTTATTTGGACGATTATCAAATCCGCAATCCGCAGAAGGTCCAAAGCAACTAGAGGAAAACGTTGTTTGAAGTAGAAGGTCACATTTTTCGCCTTTGAGCTTTTTTGAAAATAAGAGTTTTCCAGGTATACTAGATGTATTATACTGTGTGTTGACTGAATCACCAGAAGCGCTGAATATGATCAATGAAAACCATATCAAATCGGTGATATCGCTTTTGGAGAAGGTCGGAAGAGATCCTAAGGTCATATTTCTTTTAGTATAAAAAATCTTAGGATATCGTGATAATAGCTTTTGAAGAGTTCCTCTTGTTTCTTTAGCTGACTAAATTAGAGACCATTAGAACATGTTTACTTATCAGTTTCAGTGTCTTGTATCCGTGGGATGTCAAGCAGACATTCACATCATTAAAATTTAGGTACTTGATGTCCTATCATCACTTTGCGAAGGCAATGGGATGGCAGTTCGAAGCAGTCAGAATACAATTACTCAACATTTATTGCCTGGAAAAGATCTATTATTGCAAACGAAAATGAGGGATCACGTGAGCAGGTATGAGAACACTTCACTTCATTCAATGCTAAATTTCCATCATTTTCCAAAAATTGTATCCGTTGGTTTTGATGATGCGAATGTCAAACAGTTTTAGGTACTTGATGTCCCCACCCCACCTTTAACAAAATGATGCAGTTTGAGGAGATCAATTTTACAATTTGGTCCACATGTAAAAGTTATTGCATTACATGCAAAAGTGACGAAATAAAGGCTGTAACTCATATCAGTGATATGAATGAAGTTCCACTATCTTGAAAGTCGGAATTACGTCTGATGGAATTAATCTGAGACCCTGAATTATAAATATTCCAGCTTCGGCAAATTATTATAAATCATAAAATAGGTGTTGACGGTGCCGGTGGGACTTAACATGCCTTCTGTGAATGTACATAGATACGGATGAAGCAACCCATGGACGTTCATTTAAAACCAATTTGTGCTGAATAGTAGCATGAATTTACACTAGAATAAGTTTAGTAATCGAACTTCTAGTAATTAGGCATTGAAAGTTTATTTTTTTGACCAGTCAGTGCATTGATTGGAACAAAAACTTTAGTTAAGCGGACTAATTAGTTTACTTGTAGTATGACGCCGAATATCTTAGTCGGCGTCGTTGAAGGGAGCTCACAATTTCGGCGATGGTATTATGAAGCAGAAGTTGAGCACATTGAACAAATGACCAAGACGGAACCATATCTTCGGATCGGATGGGCAAATAGCATGGGCTATAAACCGTTTCCCGGCTCTGGTGATGGGTGAGTTGTTAATTAATAAAATGCTAATTATTGAAAATGTCTTCTACTTATTAACATTCATTCAAACTTTTTTAGTCGGTTTCATAAAACTTAATAATTGTATAATTTTGAAAGTCCAACTGCTTACTGCTTGTTTAATATAAGAATTTGATACATAATATATAATATTTTGTCCTTTACTTGAACTAATAAAGCATACAATTCATACAAATTTCCATATAGATGGGGCTGTATTGGTATCGGTGATGATTATTATTCATATGGATTCGATGGTCGATGTATTTATTGCGGTAGATTTCTTACTAGCACTGATAGTTTAAATTCTTCAAGTTCAAAATGTCAAACTGTGAAATTTCCAAGTGCTCGTCCTGCTTGCTTAGTATATGTTCAATATAAATTTAACAGTGCTGCTTTTTTTAGCAACTAAGAAACACGTTATTTGGACTCGAACATTACAAAAAGGTGATATCGTTGGTTGCTTATTAGATCTGAATATTCCGGAAATAAGTTTCACTGTTAATGGACAATCAACTACAGGGCTATTCAAAAACTTCAATATCGACGGGTTTTTCTTCCCCGTCATGTCACTTTCTGCGAAAGTCAGGTATTCGACTTTGCAGGGCACCTTTTTTATTAAATGAAATGTAGGGATGAATCTACAATTAATTGATAAACTCATTTGAAATCATTGCTTGTGCAGGAAAGTTATGTAACTTATTATAAGAAGTTGTTGTTTTTCTCATTACTGTAGAAATACAACGAATGAAATGAAGAAGCCAAATTTCAGTTGTCGCTTTATGTTCGGTGGTACAGAAGGGCGTCTGCGCTTTGGACCGCCTCCTGGATTCAGTGCCCTAATTGAGGCAGCAGCAAATAAGTTGGAAATTGGCGAATGCGTTTCGTTCGGTGATATTGCAAAGAACATATATACAGGCCCCAGCATCTTACGTCAAAACACGGAACCATTCGTACCGAAACTGGTCGACATCTCTACCGTAGTACTACCTCACTTCGCAATGGAAATACATGAAAAAGTAGCGGAAAATTTGCATGAATTATGGGCAATGAGGAAAATTGAACTTGGCTGGAGTTATGGAGAGGTATAAGTTCCTTTACGTGTTGATAAATAGCGCGTAAACTTCTTGTGAATTTAGTATTTACGAATAAACTTCACTCCTCTTCTTATTGAGAAAGCAAAATCGATGGAAAGACAATGAGTTTTTGAATTGTAGTATTTCGATTTTTCGAGGAAATTCTGAGAGCTTAAAAAGGTGCGCAATTACTCATTTGACTAATATTAGAATTTGTTATGAATGAAGTAAAGCTAAGTATTGATGTTGCAACCTTTTCAGTGCTCCTTGCCCAAAAGCTTTATTACAGGTAAGGGACGAGAAAACTCGACGTCATCCATGCCTGACATCATTCCAACAACTACCGCCGAACGAGAAAGCTTATAATATCAATCTTGCCATTGACACCATGAAGTAAGATCATTCCTGTCCATCTCAGTATGAATATTTTTCTGAAAATGAACTGAATATCCATAAGCATAAAGTTCGAGAAACATTAAAACAGCCAAAATCACGAGTTATTGCTGAAAAGGATGTCATTATCAAAATCGACAATCACAGAATCACGCGTGTCACTGACATCCCAACATCGAGTCAGCTGATTCATTTTCAGAACAATCGAGGCTTTACGATATCATATGGTCTTAGATGAACCCCCAGTTCGCTTACGAGCTGTGCGTCTCTCTCAGAAGTAAAAATTTTGTTGAAACATTGAGACACATGGAAATAACATACCAGTGTTCTACGGATATAAATAGTGAGAAATACATTTTTCCAACTTTTAAATTAGGATAGTATGCTAGGTCACGTATTTATGCCATAAATTTGTTGAACATTGGTCATTTAGCTATCAACAAAGCAATGGATTCAAACCGCAGCCTTTGGATTCTCATGAAATTGTTCTTGATGATAATATATTCCCGTTGATTGATGCATTGGCCAAAAATACCCATAATGTTTGGGCGAGAGAGAAAATTCGGCGTGGTTGGACTTTTGGGCTTAATGAGGTAGGTACATTTGCATCTTGTTCTTCATACAATAATCTTTGAATAAATAATACTGTATTTTACTTGTAAGAAATCACCTCAATTTTTTTCCAGTCATACAACAATTCTTAACCTCTCAAGGTCTCAAGTAAGGAGATCTCAACAGGTCCATTGTTACATCTCCTGATAAAAAGAACTTGATCTGAATCCTTGAAGTTTGGTGTTACTACTTTAAAAGTTCTTATTGTTGTAGTTTGTGAATATGAGCCAGAAACGAAGTCCGCATTTGGTACCATATGAGGTGGTTGACCAGCGGATTAAAGAAGCCAATAGGGAGTCAGCTACGGAATTTATCAAGACTCTGCAGCTGTTCGGAATCTTCTTGGAATCACCTGTTTTAGAACACGATGAAGGTATCTACTAATTTCATGAGATCTTTGGAACTAGACAAGTTAATGTCAGTCAAGCAACACAAGAGATGGGTGTGTATTCAGGTAAAGACAATGCATGCAATTTCAAAAATCCCCATGAAAACTAGAACTCAGAAAATCGAAAGTTAGATCTCAATTTTTAAATTCAAATTATATATATGGCTCAGGTGCGGAAAAGGAATGGAAAGCAACAAAGGCATTCTCGCGTACCTATCGTGCTGAAGCATTATATGCAGTTTCTAGTGGTAAATGGTACTTTGAGTTTGAAGTGCTCACATCAGGATTTATGAAAGTCGGTTGGATGGATGTGAGTGCACAATCAACGGCTGATATCGGAATGGATGATCGATCATATGGATTTGACGGGTAATTTGTTATTGACCATAATTTGAAATTGATTTTTTTTGACTTTTTTCTTTTCGATTTCTTATACAACTCTGAATGGTGAAAATTCATTAAGCTCTAAATTGAGGCTTTTTAATCCCATTTTATTTGGTTTTCTGTTTCCATTTCTTACCTTATTTACCTATATGTCTTCGTTAACTCTAGTGAAATTTAATTTCAGATATTTGGCGCGTAAATGGCATCAAGGAGCTGGTACCTATGGAAGAGAATGGAAAATTGGCGATATCGTAGGAGCATTTCTTGATCTTAGCGATCGTACCATATCATTTTCGTTGAATGGCGAACTGCTGTTGGTAAAATCGAAAACAATTTCATAAACTAATTTTCTTCCAAAAAAGGCTTACAACAATATTTTATTTATAATAACCTGATATCAAGTGCGTTAGAACGTTAGAGTCATTCTTCTCCTCGAACCTTACAAGATAAGGTTGAATCTTTCCAACTCCCCCACTATGATTATTTAAAAGCTGCATTCTAGGACCCTTCCGGATCAGAAATGGCCTTCGACAATGTTCTCGTAACAGATGGCTTCGTGCCAGCAATGACATTTAGTGCGGGACAGAAAGCGAAACTGAATTTTGGCCAAGACTCAAATAGCTTGAAATATTTCACCACATGCGGTTTACAAGAAGGATATGAACCATTTTGTGTGTAAGTTGCGTATAATTTATTGCTTTGCGTATTGAAAAAATATTGATTTTTATTACCAGATCATCGGAAAATATTTGGAAATTATTTGCAGCTTAAACCAGTCTTTTTCCCCAGAAACCTTAGAAAAGCGAAAATATTTGTTCTCAAAGTATTTATAATTCTTTTAAACAATCCTTGCAACTTTACTTCTTTTCAAAATCTTTATTACTCTAAATTTAAAATTTAGTAATATGTATCGCCAAATGCCAATGTGGTACGCCAAAAGGTTACCTCAGTTTGAAGATATCGGATTGAATTCAACAATAGAAGTTTCACGAATACCAGCAACCGGAAACAGTCCTCCATGTTTGAAGATTACTCAAAAAGAGGTTTCATCGGATTTTGAAATCTTTTATTCCTATAATATTATTTTATCACAATAAAATTGAATACAATTTATTAAATAGAAGAAAAAGTGAAAAAGTAAAATTGAGTAAATTTTAACGTTAATAATATGGAAATTCTAATGTTAGCCATATAAGATCCTTCTTTGCTCCTCTTGCTCGGATCTACTGAAGAACTATTGCCTATTTTGATGATTTGATGACAGATAAAAGTGATAATAAATTTCGTATTCAAATTTCCGCCCAGATACTTTTGGACTCAAAAACAATCCACACATCATTGCAATCATTAAATGGGCATAAGACAACATCATGATTGAGAAAATGAACAGTAACAAGAGGAAGAGCTGAACCATTGTAAATAGTATTTAATTTGCAGTATTCTTTGATTTAGTTTAAACAATAGTGAGGAAAATCCGCGGGAGATGATAGGATTTAAGAAAGATGAAATAAATTGCTGCGTAAGAATTTCTGTGTCAAATACAAAAAATATCACGAAGCAGTGATTGCAATAACATAAAGAAATAATCATTAAAGAAGTTATAGTTTCTTGATATAAACTTGCTATCACAAAATTATGATGCACTTCTGCCTTTGCGTAAAGGAATCCAAGTAAAACTAAAGTGACTAACGTTGCAAACAGGAAATTATAGTTTGTTAATAGGAGAATTATCTCTTATATATGTCATAATTCGTTAAGAACAATGATATATATAGTACCTAAAGCGATCATATTTGATATTTGAAATGATGCAAGAATAATGGCAGTGGAACATTCAGATTGATACAGGTGATATGACAGTTCAGGAGAAAGCTAAAATGGAATATATTCGATTGTCTCTGCCCGTGAAATGTAATGATAAACTTCAACCAACTAAGTAAGATTATTTGATTGAAATGTATGAGTAGTGAGTAGTACATTAAGTAATAGTTATAGTTATGAGGGAAGGGAAGAAAAGTATTTGATCAAATGAATGCGAAAGGTTCATGTCGATGAGTAAAATTCACCTTAAATAAAATTTCAATGCGCTTTCAGAGATAAGGAATCAATAATGCGTTCTTTACATGAAATTGAAAAGCAATTGGCAGAGGAAGCGCAGCCTGTAGCTACAATAAGACATCCAGCTATCCCCAAAGAATTTGGTGACGATACTAAACTGAACAAGGCAAGTATTTGAACTGTAACACATGAGTATTGTGATATGTCTCCCAGTTTCTACATCTGTCCCATGCATGGCACTCGTCAGATAACTTCTCAGTTTTATCATCTGCTGATGTGACCTATTGATATCTGTGTTTGATGGATGCTAAGCTCATTCGGTCATTAATTGGACTTTAATTAAGAGAGTCTTTAATGAAATTGCCTTAAAAATATCGAAGCTAGCTTACTTAGAGGGGAAATAAACACGCAATTCCATCGAAGTACTTGGCTGCAGTTGCGGGTTCAAATCTTGATATTTCTTTTGTTGGATTTCTTGGATCGGAAATGGTACTGTATGGATAAATCATAGTTGATTGATATGTATACCGCGACCAACAGTTATCAACTTAGATAAAGTAGACCACAGAGATAAGGATTAAATGTGCTGTGAAGTAGTATGCGTTATGAAATGTTTCGGTGTCTTACACTGTAATGCATATCTATGAGTAAATTATCATGGTACAATCAAGGAATTCTATTATTACCCGGCAAAAATAAAATTACTGTAATCACCTAAGATAAATTATTGTAATCATTTAGAAATCACTTGGCCGATCGTTACTGTCAGCTTTTAAACACAGTGCAGAAGAAGACGAAAATTCACCACGCTCAAAACCAATATCGTTTGATGGCGAACACCACCTTGCAGAAACATCTACCATAAGGTTTCGTTTAGAAATTTATTAAATTTATAGTGTAACTTTTTCTCCGAGGTTTCCGAAATTCCAATTGTTGTCAAAAATAAAGGAAGAATGAAAAAAAAAAATGATTTAGAGAAGAAAGGAGTAACATAATTGTTGGCATCGAATCCTTTTTATAAACTTTAGTTTGAACTTGATCAATAATTCAAAAGTGACTACTAACTTGGACTGCCATCTCAACTTCTGCACTATCTACAGCCAGTGTGGTTGATTGTTAACAATGACAGATCAGGGAATGAATTGCATATCTTGTTTTATGACAAAGTAGCATCAAAACTTTAGAGTCTTTAGGCATCTGTACAAAATTAAATATGAAGCTAACATTAATTACAAAGCTCAACTCATCAATTCTCATACCATGTTGGCCTAGGAACATCGAAAAATGACTTTGCACTGGGAGTCTCACAATCGCTGATCGAAATTGATTGGTGAAAAAATTTGAATTTAGTCTTGGAAATCAGAAATATGGTCTACAAAGTTGAGAAATGATATCTTCTTTTTTAGCAGATTCTGGGGCATTCTTTTCAGTTTTACAAAGATAAAATATTGAAGGTCGAAAATACAAATATAAAAAATACAAATTGAGCGAGTAAGTATTCGTTAGACTGGAAAATCGAAAAAGCAACTTTGTTTGTTTATGAAATGAGTTCTGATATTTTTAGTTTAAATGTGAGGTCATTAGGAATTTTTTGGAAAGATTTGCATTTGAAAACTTACATTTTGATAGATTTACATTTGAAAGATTTACATTTGATCATTTTCATTACGTCTTATTTGAAAATGAGAGAATCCAAAGGAATTAGAAAATACTTTTTGGTATTACATATTACGAAATAGTTACGGCCGAATGCTATTATCTTTTCGATAATGGCATTACTAACAGTGGGACATTAATGAACTTCCTGATCCTAATTGCACAGTAGAAGATAATATCCTAGTATGTTTGAAGTTTTCGGGAATATCTCCTACCGTACTATCCATTCATGTTACCAATTTCAGTCCATGATGAGTTATGTGCCAGTCAAAATTTTATTTATAAAAACCTTATTGGGATACGTGTTGAATTCGAATCAGATCAGATGAATTTGTTCTCAGCATTTTTTACTGTTGTTGCTTCTTTACTTTCAATGCCTATTATGATATTATCTATTTTTTCGAATGATAATTGTGTACCCAGTACTTTTTTGTGCTTTCTTCATAAATATAACAAAATAATGAAACATTTTGTTGATAAGATTTGATATTACCATATCTAATCTTCTATGTAGTAAGTTAAGGTGCTCTTTAGCAACTTTTAGAAGGTGAATAATTACGACTTATTTTTAATTGATCTTAAGATTGATAAGGAAAACGTGGAATCATTGCTAGCATCAGTTTTCAGTTTCTGTATGTAAAATGTAATGCAGTGTAGGGATTTCATGATACCCTTGCGCTTTTTCTGATTTTATTGGATAAGCTCATTAAATGTGGTGATTATGATTAGAACAAGTCAGCAGAAGGTGTACCATAATACCCCTGTTTTTATCTGTCATGTCAGAAAAATAAAGCAAATTTAACAAAAGGAATCATTTCAAATTTCCCTCAAATATTCTTTTTCATTACTGTTTTCCTTGTCCTTAAGTCACACCAATGAATTTTCAATCTTTTGTAGAATGTCTGGAAGTATGCTTGAATTATCAAGTACTGAAGAGCATCGGGAGGGAAAGCACAAGCGAGGCGGTTTGATGGCGAGATTTCATCAAAGGAAAAAGTAAGATGATTATAGTTGATATTACAATTTGAAATTCCATCCTTGAGCACATTAATTCCAGTGTTCAATTATACCACAAGAAAGATATCAGAAGGTAGATATGAAAGGATACCTTACTAGACATTATAAGGGAATTCTTCTGACCAGAATCGTGCAAGTCAGGATGCAACATGCAAACCACGCAGTAACCCGCTATCTTCTAGTTCTGCATGACGCATGATATTTAGTGGGAGAACCGAAATTTTTTCAGAGAAGGAGTGTCTAGCGAAAGTAAGCGTACCACAGGTGTATTGCCGGATGGACATATTGCGAATGCAGATGCTATTTCGGCAGAAAGTGTACCGCCTTCAATGCCAAAAGATGATCAAGGTATCAATAACTGATTACAAATTTACAGTTGATCCGTTACTTATCAGAAGGCGATTGTGCTGATCACTTTTAGTAACGAATGATATTCTTTTTCAATTCACTTTGTGTGTCACTTTCCTTTTCTATTTTTCTGACAGGCCTAAAATGAGTAGCAGTTCTATGAAACATTTTTTTTTAAAGAATGTTTTCTTAGCAATGGCTTAGTTATTCTTTCAAATTAATGCAATACCAAAAAAATGTGAGAAAAAGTTCAACAGATTCAACTGTTCAAATTCATAAAACAGCATTTGAATTTTTGAATCGGCTAACATTTATTTTTGAGTTTTTCTTAAGATATGCCTCGATCAGGTCCTGGACGATCCCGACGGCTGATCGGATCAGACAAGTTGAAAAAGAAGAATGAAAGGTTGTTGGAGCATCGGAGGCCGTCGCTTGCAGCTCTGGAACAAAGCGTTACTGTAGAAGGAAACGTGCCAAGCTACGATGTGCAGCCTATGATTGAACTAAGTGATAAGGTTAATTTATTTCTTCGGTGAGGACTGTTTTAAAGTAGCAGTGCTAACGACACTCTTGTATATAGCAATATATAGATGCTATACTGTGTTCAGATATTTCTCCATAGAGAGAAAGTATCATTGTGCTTCTCATATCCTTATCTTATTCAGATCGATGAATTCTATTACGCAATTAGAATTTTTCCGGGACAAGATCCTGCAAATGTTTGGGTTGGCTGGGTAACACCGAAATATCACTTTTATGCTGAACGTTTTGTTATTGGAGAAGCTGTCCGACGTTGCAAATATCAGGAAATAAATAAAAATGTTAATGAAGGAGAGAGGTAACTTTTTTGAAGCCTCAAAAGACCTCGAAAGAGGTACTGCAGAAGGAAATAGGCATGTCGATGGTTAATGTTTTACTCTTAGATCTTATGTTGTGATGCAGTTCCTTCGGAGGGTATGAATTTAGACTTGACTCCAAAAATTATGCTGGAATTTAATCATTGGTATCTTAATTGAAGCAACTCTCGTCACCCAGTACATGTAGACCTTAATATTGCAGGCAATTCAGATCGGTTATTTTAAGCACGAATAGTCCAGATTAACAAAAAAAATCGGTTTACCTCTCTTTTAATATCTATGAAGGTACTGTAACCCAGAAGCAAGCACTCCAAAGTAATCCAGATTAGCAAAATAACTTTACAGCTTAGAATATCGAAACTGCTATGTGATGAATGCCGCCGAGCTGCTGCAATCGGTGCCAGACTCAGGGAATACGAAAGTATCCGGCCTGTTGATCGGTTGTATCATCGATACATCTATTGGAGAACTATCATTCTTGGCTTCAAAACAAGACACTGGTTTTCGATTTAAAGTAAATTTTTACCCTCTTGACGATCGATTATGGTTGCAGCTTTTTATATTGCTTCTGATAGTTTTTCAATGTTAAATGTTGCGAAACTTTATTACATTCAAACTGGACATTAGATGATTGAAATACCAAAAACAGAATTGCGATTAAACTTGGATAATCCAAACAATTTATTTTCCAAATCACAGTTAGAACCTGGTGCTATTCTCTATCCTGCTGCATTTGTGGCACCAACAAGTGCCGAAGTTTTACAGTTCGAACTTGGACGAATAAAGGTATGCTTTTTTCATGAGTTTGGTAATGTTTCTTTATCCATGATTCCGATGCAGAAGTATTTTGAATTACTTCTTTGAAGTTTACAAATTGCAGAAAGCTGTAATTGATAATTTTCCTTTAAAATCAGAAAAATTTTGAAGAAAATACTTGGGAAATTATTAATAAAGCAGTGACTTTTTTCATTATTTTGAACTGCAATAATTATTAGTTTATAAGAATGGTAAGTACAATTTCTTTCTTATCTCCCAAAAACTTGATTAAATATTTAAATGCTGGCATGTAGGATGTAAATACCATTTAAACATCTCATTCCAGTACACTTTCCCATTGTCTTCGGCGATGTTCAAATCGTCACACAAAAGTTTGTTGCCATTCTGTCCACCACGATTGACGGTTCAGAAATTAAATCCCGTTCACTGGGCTCGAGTACCTAATGAATGTTTACGTACAACAGCTCTTAAACTTTCTGATTTTAGAGGTAATGTTTGGATGATTTGAAATAGGGAGTAATTTTAATTTTTGGCAGGTATTTTTCAGCGTAATCTTTAAATGTAATTAAGAAAAAGGAAAATTTGAGCCTTTAGTTATGAATGATTGATAATTGCAACGAAAAATAGTTTTTCCATCTTGCAGCCACTGACAGCAGTATCTGATAGGGGAAATAATTGCTGTTTTGTTCTGTAACTTATTAAATCATGCAATAATGTTTAGCAAAAAAAAGGATTTTTAAAGAAACTGAAAAATCTTCGAAAACCATGTTTAATTTACTAAATTTATATCAGTCATGATTACATAGCTCAGAAGACAAAATTTCGTGTAATCTTGATAGTGGGACCCGGATAATGACTCATAATACAAGTAACTTTCGAATTCTAATCCAATTCTTTGAAGATAAGGAGCTTCTTATGCTCAACTTACGTCTTCAACTTATGTTGCAACTTACGTCTCAACTTATGTTTTTCTTAAGCTCAACCAATTTTACATAGCTAAAACGTTCTACACATTCTAGGCTGGTCTGTCCTCTGTGACGATCCCGTGCGCATAATGTCCATTTATGTACCAGAAAAGGACACTAGCTATGATATTCTGGAAATGATTGAACATAATGATTTCTTGATATTCCATCGACAAACTCTCAACCTGTATTGTAAGCTAGCAGCGCATGGAAACCAGAAAGTAGCACACATTTTATGTTCACATGTTGACGAAGATCAGATTATGTATGCCGTGAAGAGTCACTGTAAGTTCTGAAGCATTTTCAAATATACGAAAATATAAAAAAGACCGGAGCTATTGGTCGTCGATTTGCATCCAAAGTCCCACCAAGAATATTTTCTTTTCGGTTTACTTCTTTTTAATCTGAGTATTCGGCACTTTTCGAAAAACAAGTCAAAATTCTGAATTCTTCTCGCTAATTCATGTCATGATTTCTCCAGTTTCTTTAGATAACAGTGGCAATAGCGCAAGCTACGGAAATTCTAATAATGCGTCTTTTAGATCTTTCGGGACCGCTTCGTCAAGGATTCCATGATTTCCTAATTGCCGTTCACTTACGAACATATGTTGATGCACGACAATCTACCGCCCGGGAATATGTTATTCCACTGAAGCAAAATCGTGAAATTAAAAACATCTTTCATCCAGAGAATGAAGATCGTTTTCCGCAAATTCTCGGACCGACGATCTCCATCCGGCCGACAATAGTATGCAGTGAAGTGCACAACGAGTAGGTTGCACCTAATTAACACTCTCAAATCTGTTGTAAAATCAGGTTTGATCACCTTATCAGATCTTTTAGAAATAGCCATAGCTGGTTAGGATCGAGACACAGAGAGATACATTTCTTTAAACTTGGAAAAAAAAAAAAGCGACACTTATAGTTACTGCTGTGCCAGTGAGTAAGTTAAAATTAATGGTTGAAAATATGATCTTCTGGTGGATAGTACGATAGTATGAAAAACGATTTTACTGAATCAGCAAACAGTTTGGTAAACAAGTAGTTTGTTAAGTTTTATAGACACAAATTTTCAATAGAGCTTAAAAGTGGTGCACCTTTGAGACTATTTTTCCGAAAAGGTTAATAATCGTTTTCCACAAAGAATAAATGATCTTTTTGATCATAGTGATTCTGAGATTCAAAATTAATTTAATAAATTTGAATTCACATAAATCACCTTTGTTTTTTAGTTTCGGAAAGGATGCGGAATCAAAGCTTCTACCGCCTGCATTGAATTTTGCTGCCTTGAAGGCTCATGTTATGTCAGCATTGAGTAGCGCAACTGAACATGCTGTTATCAGTTGTCGTGATTTGATCGGTGGAAATTGTTTAAATCATTTTGAGTGAGCTTCGCAAATATCTTTTTTTTTTTTGCGTGAAAAAGGAATAATACGCCGACAAAGGATAGATAGAGAGTCAGTAAATTGAGTCCGAAGAAAGGAAAAGCTCCTTCGCTTCACTGTGCTTATTGGAAAAAGGCAGGGATAAGAATGAAATAAAGTGCTCTTGATAAGAATGGAATAATTTAAATGCAAGTAAATATTTGAATATTTCAGACCACTTTTCAAGTTGTTCAATTCGCTGTTAGTAATTGGAATGTTTGATGACGATGACCTGAAAGATGTCATGAAATTAATTCATCCTATTGTTTTTGATGAAAATTATATGCCAGGTTTGAAATTTGAATAGGTAAACAAATCAAAAAAGCGGAAGTGGAAGAAGTAAGCGTGGTATTTTTATTGCTGAATTTTGAATCTTAAATTTTTTGCAAAAATCCTGAAGTCCATATTTTTCCAAGTCAAATTTCTGTTATTAAAATTCTAACAGGTAAGAAGTGATACTTCTTAGCGAAGCGAGTAAAGAATGTCGTCGGGGCCAGAAAATCAAGTCGCAGTTGGTGAACTGATAAATTTGAAAATTTGTTTCTTTAATCTGTCTAAGCAATAACTTTGTTTTCCATTTATTTAGGCTCGAAACAAAAAGGTTTGACAGAAATTGAATTAGCAGAGGGAGTGAAAATCCAACTTACAATTATCCTTGAAAGCATTTGTGATATCCAACTGAGACATCGGGTTGAATCGCTGGTTTCATTCGCTGCTGGATTTGTGAGTGATTTACAGCAAGATCAGTTTTCCAGGTACATTGTTTTTGTTATGAAAATTTAAAAAATTTATACTTTTCGGGAATTATTCCTTCTAAACAGTTTGGATTAATTTGTTATAAAAAGAACTATGCATCATAAATGGTACCAACAAAAAAACAACTAAATCTCAAAATTATAAGTAATAACACTAAAAAATTTATTAAAACTAAAATTACAAATCTGATTATCATGGGACAACAGCATAATTAATAATATCTGAAAAAAATTAAAAAAAGTACATAGCAAATAAGCAATAAAAAAAGCCTGCAAGCTCTTTCACCATAAATTAGAAATTTTAAAATGAACTGAAAGACTAAAAAAGACAAAAACTTAGCAGCAGAGAAAAAATAATACAAAATGTACTAAGTTTTACAAATTAATTAACTGGAGAACTTAAGCTACTTCAGCTAAAGTTAAAGATCAAAAAATGCGCAAAATTTTTCAAAACTTGAAAAAATAACTCGAGGTTAGCTCAAATGATGCAACCACACATATTTAAATTATACTAGAAACCTAAAAGTTTCTTCTATTCTCTCATAAGATAGTCTCTTGCAAGCTAAATGAATTTTTTGAATTCATTGAATTTTTTAAAGATATATGTCGATTAAACAGACAGATATGTCACCAGCAGAAGCAGCTAAACGTACCAAAGAATTTCGATGTCCACCACGAGAACAGGTATGCACAATATATTTTAAAACAGAATCCCATTTTGTATATCCTGCTAAAGCTTGTTTGTTAAAACTGTACATGCGTTACTCTTAAATTTCATTTATTTTTCAATAATTCTTTGAACTTTCCAATAATGATTTTCTGCCATTACTATTCATTCCTGGAACAGATGTTCCGGTTGATGAAATGCAAAGCGGTACCGGACGATAATGTTGGCATAATGTTGGATGATGAAACGGAATATGATCAATGTCCCATGGATGAGGCATTGCAACAACAGCTAAGGTTTGTATATCTATAGAAGGTAAATGAAAATCATAAAATCATTTGTAGACTGTAAATTATCGATGTCTTTTTGACAAGTGAACTTTGATTTATCTAATCTGTTTTCAAGTTAAAATCGTATTCGTCCATCCATTACAAACATTCTTAATAATAATTCAAGTTTGCAAAATGAATTTTTGATCAATTTTGTCTTTGGATGGATCGATTTCCAAGTCGATACTTTTTTATCGCTTTCTATTTTAGAGAATTTTGTTCACTGTTAGTGAACAAAGCAGGATGCGCAAAGAATGAAGAGAGTAATGAACTCTCAGAGTTGATAGTTCTGGAAGAAACCAATTCATGGGTAGATCAGCTGGCTCAGCTTGTTATTCGGGTACCACCACCATTGTCTGGAGAAGATAAAAATATAAATCATAATGGAACTGAGAATTTCAGGTTCGGAAAATTTAAATCTTCAGTCATGACTGCTCTGACGACATTTACTTCTAAGTTTGCGTATAATAACGATTATACTGTTGCTTTAGTTATTTAATTGAAAAATTTAGACATATGATTTGCACAATGTTGAAGTCTTGGGCAACATCATCAGTGATCGAAAGTAACGAGTTGATCCGAAAGATGTTCAGCCTTCTTTTGCGCCAGTATACTGGTGTTGCTGAGGTAATCATTAGTAACCGTTTCAGAATTTCAGCTTACTCAAATCTTATAGTTTATACAAATTTCTTATGGTTTACTTCTATGCTCTGTTTAAAGTTAAGTAAAAAATTAAAGAGACAAACAAAATAAAAGTAATAAATTCTTGGAGCCATTAAGAACAGAAACCAGTTACCTATCCATGTTTGTTTCAACAAAATTTTCCTTCCACTACTAAACACATTTTATCTATTTTAAGTGCTTTGCGACCATATGTGCTCAGTAGTGCTCAAAATAAATGAATATAATAAACAGACCTGAAATTTTTTCCTTTACTTTCTTGGCAACATACATCTTAAACAAAACAGACACATGCGACACAAACTCAAGTTTCCAAAAAATTGATCACTGACATTGCAGATGATGAAGGCCTTATCGCAAACATATGTGTTGCACGAGCGTAATATAGAGGATGTACAAGATTTCATTGAAAATTTGGTCCAAGTTCGCGAACTACTCAATGTACAATTTGAAAATGCTGAAGAAGCAGTCCTAAAAAGGGGACTATGGTGAGAAGTTCTTTATGTGGGATGGAATTCTTAAAAATGGTAATTAAAGAATAGCTCAAGCTAAACAACAAAAAAGATTTAGGAATACTTATGAAATTGTTGATTTCCGTTTTAATGCGCTGGTAGCCGGGATCTACAGCTATCTTTTAACATTCTTCCAGGAAACTAATGAACAACCGCATTTTTTTCCAACATCCCGATTTGATGCGTCTTTTAACAGTGCATGAGAATGTGATGTGCATTATGATGAACGTCCTCACAGCACAACAAGGAGCTGCAAATCATGGCGAGCCTGCAGAACAAGTTGAAAATATCGAAGAAATTGCAAATGCACAAGAATCTAAGGTAGAAGCAATTTGGTGTAGTAAAAATAATATTAATCTAAGGCGATTCAGGAAAAAAGATTTGAATTAAGATGAAATAGATTACAGATAGATTTAGTAGAAATTCCGATCTAATGGTCTTTAAATGTCGAAAATGAGAAAGCCTTTACCTAATGCATTTATGACATTTGAAAAATCAGTGAAATCCGGAATAAATAGGTTTCCGGACTTGGAGAAACTTGATTATGTACCAAAGCTTTACATTTGTTGTAATCTGATTCTTTACTCTTCACATTTAAAGGATTCCATTCATGCTAATACGTTGATATGACAGGTACATTCTTAATTACAAGAACAGATCTAACACTTTAGTCTTTTAATTTCAGGATGCGTCTGAAATGGTTGTTGCATGCTCACGTTTCCTATGTTATTTCTGCCGAACTTCCCGCCAAAATCAAAAAGCTATGTTCGAACATCTATCATTTTTATTGGACAACGCAACTATGCTTCTCGCAAGGCCTAGCTTGCGAGGTAAATAAGCTTTTTCCAAAATTTATCTACTTAAATATCATGAATTTGTTAATTTCCACGCGAGGTATTTTATTTGCTGCGAAACATAGGTTCGGTGCCACTCGATATTGCATATTCGAGTTTCATGGACAACAATGAGTTGGCTTTGGCTCTGAAAGAAGATGAACTTGATAAAGTTACAGTATATCTTAGCAGGTGTGGATTGCAGGTGAGAAGGATTCCGCTTCAACTAAATTTCATCTCAAAAGTGGGAGTTTTAAAATATTTGGTTCCCTACTTCGAAATAAAAGCAGTACAGCCTTTATGATGCTACCGAACTGAAATGTATTTGATAGTGTTAAGAGATATCATTCAATAAGCATCTTCAAAGGCTACTTTTTCACTTTTCAGCCAAATTTAGAATTGGTCGCTAAAGGTTATCCAGATATTGGTTGGGATCCAGTGGAAGGTGAGAGATACATTGATTTCTTGCGATTTTGTGTTTGGATCAACGGAGAAAGTGTCGAAGAAAATGCGAATTTAGTGATACGGTTATTAATTCGTCGGCCGGAATGTCTTGGTGTTGCGCTAAAAGGTGAAGGACAGGGATTATTCTCAGCATTTAAGGTAGGTTGCGAATTTCTAAACCGATCTAAATTTCAAATTAAAACACTTGTTGCATAAAGCTGACGTTTAGAGCAAGAGTGGGCAATTGATTTGCCCAGGGGGCCCATGAGAAACTGACTGGAATGGTTTTTCAAGGGCCGGACTTAACTCAGCTCCATCCAATACCGTATTCGGATATGTATATATATATATATATATATACTATCTCTTTATAAAAAACAGTGAATGAAATACTGTCAATAGATTCACACTGAAAATGTGGAGGACCTAATTATATCATTATTCAATGTTGAGATGAACTTGTGATGAAAGATCAGCAGACTTTAACACTGGACGGTTTTGATTTAAGGAAGGGAAAAGCGACGGAGAGGGAGGGGCAAACTCCTTTCGCGGCTCCGCGGGCAGAAAACACTTGCTGAAGGGCCACGTCCGTGGGCGTAGACCGCCAGATAGCTAGGTCAGCTTTAAAGGAACAAATTAGCGAATACTGAAAAGTCGTCTTAAAAATCAGTGAAAATTTACATATTTGGTAGTTTTAAGCGATTTCGCGATTGTGAGCAGTACGTTCTGGGGAAAGTGGTAACAAAATTTATAATTTCTGTAAAGTATTGGGAGCTTAACGCATTTGATCAATATGCGTTTTAAAAGTCAAAACGAGTTTGAATTTCGAAACAATCTTTTGCAGGAAGCAATCGCACTTTCGGAGGATATCCGAGCATTGGAAGAAAATGAAAATCATACAGTCATTCATAGTGCACTGCTAAGGGAACAACCGTAGTTGCTTTTCAATTTTGTTAAATTTGATTTTATAATATTTTGAATTCCTTATTTTGAAGTATCGCAGAGATTTGAATTTCGGGATCTCAAATAAATATGAAAATAATTTGGTTGTTGCCAATCATGCCATTCTTACCATTTTTACTTTCATTTGTCTTCAGGCACTATCCAAACAAAGAAACAGAAGGTGAAGATTATGTTGATCTCGGAGCTGCAACGCTCGATTTCTATTCTTCGCTCGTTGATTTGCTCGCTAAATGTGCTCCCGATAAAATTAATATACAAGTAATCTTGAATTTCAATGCTTTTGTTAGTTTACGGAATCCCTTCAACAAATCAAGCAATTTGAACGACAATCTTTCAGGCTGGTAAGGGAGACTGCATGCGAGCCCGCGCTATATTGCGTTCTTTGATTTCGTTGGATGATTTGGGTCAAATCCTAGCTCTGCGTTTCACTATACCAAATTTGATAGCTTCGGTGGCTACAGATGGTTAGTACAGTCTAATTGATATTCTCAGTAATCAACTTTGATTTAGAAGTTATAGGCATTGGCAATTTTTCAAGTTAATTTGCTGGTCCTCTTCAACTAATTCTGTTTGAGACTATTAGTGAGGTAAGGCCTTAAGGGATACTTTTAAAGGGGAGGAAAATTTATGTTGCAGATGCTGGGCCATTACCTGGTCTTCTTCCAAATCATAAGCAGTCAGTTCTTCTATTCCTGGATCGTGTTTATGGTATTGATTCACAAGAAATGCTTTTCCATTTTCTCGAAAAAAGTTTCTTACCAGATCTTCGAGCTGCTACAATGATGGATTCGGTTAGTTTGCATGGAGAAATTTTATCTAGCAACAAAATTCACACAGAAACATTTTTAGAATTTGTAAGCAACTTTCTCCAGATTTACATCTTTTTCCTATCAGCGTAAGAATTTGCTTAGTAAACCCGTCTAGCCTTCAGTTTACTAAATTTTGGAGATTTCGGATATGCTTATGCTAGAAGTTTGAATCTCATGACCATTGTCTGTCAACCTTTTAAGATTTTAATTTTGCGTTTTCTTTTGATTTTGATAAAGACGTCGTTTAATCTCCACCATTAATATCTTTGTCACCGAAAATGCGTCATCTTTAAAAGGAGCAACTCAAACCATTCAGTTAACCTTGCTATGTAATTGAATTTACTCGACCTATCATTACAACTGCAGCCATGCTCCGTGGAAAGTGATACAGCATTAGCACTGAATCGTTATCTGTGCAACGCTGTGCTACCTTTACTTACCAGTCATTCATATTACTTCGCTAACGCTGAACATCATGCTGCACTTCTCGATACCACGCTGCATACGGTTTCCTTTCTTCTTTTTTTTTTCAAATCGTAACTATCCGAATTCTTTTTTGAATTTTTTTCGAATTCTTTTGAAGTTCTTTTTTTGCAAATTTTTTGGTTTGTGAGTTGAAAAAAGCTTTATTAACTTGTCAACTTTACCCATAACACCGTAGTCAATCTTGACAGTTGAAGAATATTAATAAATTATTGCTAACTGATGATTACGAAATTTCATTTTTCCCACCTGCTTCTTTCACCCATTTCACTCTAGGTCTATAGCATGAATCGTTTGCGATCGCTAACCAAAAATCAACGTGATGCGGTATCAGACTTCCTGGTTGCTATCACTCATGAACTTCCGCCATCAATGATGGTGAAATTAATGCGTAAAGTTATTAATGATATCCAGGAAATGGATGAAAATCTTTTGGTTCCATTAAGGGTATGTTTTGAATCAACAAACGGTTTGAGAAAGCCGCAATTTCTCTCTGGTTTAGTCCTTTTACCGCAGCAATTTTACTTCATTGCTACATTAATATCGGATGTATTGTAATTGGAGTCCATTAAGCTTGTAAATGATAGCGGGTTTTCATTTTTTGAGTTCATATACAATCAGTTAACATTAACTGATTAATTCATAGATTCTAACATTGCATTACGAACGTTGTACGAAATATTATGGATCGGGTAATCTTTATGGAGTGGCTTCTGAAACAGAGAAGAGATTATCCATGTTGCTCTTCTACGCCATTTTTGATTCACTTGGTAGCAAACAATATGATCCGGAACTATTTGGGAAAGCTCTTCCATGCTTGACCGCTATCGGTAATGGACTTTCTTCTTTCCTTTTGTTCCATCTGTTTCCATCTTGCTGTTTTCGTTTCGTTTTTTTCTGTATTGCTTACTCCATGACTGCTTATGTTTCTCTTCATGTAAGGCTAGAAGTCTTGAATTGAATAATGCTTAAAATGTTTCCAATAAAAGCGGTGAAAATTAATTATGATCCACAGGCTCGTCAATATCACCGGATTATACCCTGACGACGACCGGTGACGATATGGATAAAATCCAGAAAACAAAAGACCGTGGAATCTGGAATCCAGATCCAGTTGATGTCAGTGGAATTCATTTCCATGATGACCTAAAATCAGTGATCGCCAAATTTGCGGAACATTTCCATGACTCATGGGCTAGTAGGAAGGTAAAAGTTTAAATGAGTAGTGTAAAATGTACTGAGTATATTCTGAACATAATGAATATAAAGACTGAACTTTTTAAGGAAAGTTATTTTTGAAAATGAAGTAAATCTTAAGGAAGTGCAGACCTTTCAAACTCCGGAAGTCGTCTGGAATGTCTTATTGGACTTTTTGCAATCATAATGGGAGATTTTTGTGTTAATTTAATTTATTAATAATATCTACTTGGTTAAAACTGCCAGATCTGATAAGATTTCTGATGATATACTTAACACTTTTCTTCAATATCTTCCTCTTTCTCTCTCGGCAATATCTTTTCTTTACAGATCGAAAAAGGATGGAATTACGGTGAGCTGTATTCACGTCAAGCTCTTACACATCCAAGATTAAAACCTTTCGCCCTCTTGCCTGATTTCGTGAGCGTTTATTATATATTCAATTTATTCCCGTAAAAAACTGAAAGTCACAGGAAGTAATTTGCTATACAAGACTGAAGTGAAAAAAAAGTTACCTCAACGGAGAATAGAAAGTTGGTGACAGAACGAGTAGCTCAAATCTCGAAAAATTGAATTTGGTGGCTAAGGACACAAACTGATAAACTATTGATCTTTCTCTCCTTTTCGTTTTGGATATTAAAGAATGAATTCATAGGAAAAAAATTTCTATCAAGAACGTTGTGCGGAATGTTTGCGTGCTCTATTGGTATGGAACTATTCGATCGAGTTAACGGATCATGACGCCGCTGATAAAGCTGTTCAAAATAATGCTTCGTTGAGTAGTACCTCGAGTAGGTATTTTTATTAGTAAGGTAAAAAAGCTTTTGTGAAGATGGATTCGATGTTAGGCCATCTCGGTTTTACAAACAGCTTCGTCGTAAGAAGAGCATAATGCAGTGCATTAAAATGTTCCATCGCTGTTTCTTTTTTTTTTTTATGGAGAGAAGAGGATTTAGATATTACCTATTTACTATTAAGAAATTTCCTTGTAATTAGTATCGCTGTGCTCAGCTATACCCGACAGAAGGAATATTCAGCCAATTTATTCCGGAATTCTCGCTTCGAGCTGTTCTAACAGGATTCGAAACAGAATCCGTGTTATAATTCATAGATGATTTCGAAAATATTGGGAAGCAAACCCACTTCAATTTGCAGTTGAAAATTTCAATCCCAAACCATTGGACTTGTCGAATATGACGCTGGAGAAAGATATGATGGGCATTGCAGAAAAGATGGCGGAAGAGTCTCACAAGATATGGGCCAAAAAGGTTTGTTAGTGTGTTAAGCCATCTGCGGAACGTGTCAAAATGGATACTGAACGTAGAAAAATAATTGTCCTTCATTTAATATAATTTTCTCATTTTAAGATTGTGAAGGTTCTCGTAGTTTGCGTTATCTTGCAGCTTAATACATCAAAATTTTTTTAGTTTTTTAGGTACTCGTAGATTTAAGTAGAGGAGGCACTATGCCACCGCAACTTGTGCCATGGGACTTGTTGACCGATTTTGAACGTCGAAAAGATCGATTTCGAGCTGCAGAAATTCTGAAATTTCTTCAGTGTCATGGATATCGCGTTTGGAGGTAGGTATCTGATAAGGTCTCTTTTTCATTTTAATAAGTGTATCAGTGGGTTTTCTTAAAAGGAAAACATCTATTGATTTTAACGTTATACTTGCTTTTTTTTTTTTAACTAGCGTATAAGTAAGAACAGTTTTTATTGCAGTTTAAATAAAGCTGAGCCATCTGCGGAACGTGTCAAAATTGATAGTGAACGTAGTTCGGTGGAGAAACGATTTGCGTATAATCTGCTAAAGAAACTGATTCAATATCTGGAGCAAGCATCCTTAAAAATGAAAACAATCAAACCTAGTCAGGAGCTCACACGACAAAACAGTTTTAGGAAAGAAGGTCAAGATGTGAAATTCTTCGAAAAGGTAAGTGGTTTTACATTTTCAATTTTTCTGTCCTTTGACTTTTCGATATGAAGTGAATTTGCTCAAAATAACTGTATTTTGCGAATTTAAGGTAGTACTACCTTTAATGCATGCGTATTTTAACGCACATAAGAATTATTTCTTGGCCAGTAGCAGTATAGTGCAAACCGGAATGGCTTCTGACAAAGAAAAAGAAATGGTGGCAAAGTAAGTTCTTTGACTAGAACTATTTAATTATATGAAATTGAGATTGTTTTTCCAGTGTGTTGTAACATTTTTCTCCCATTCTAAAACATCTACCAAGAAACTCAATATGTAAGACACGATATATGGAAAGTTTCGAGGAATGTAGTTTCCAATTTCTTCAAGTTTCCTTAGGTTTCGACATCCATGTTAGCTTTATTTTAATCCCTACTTTCTACTTAAATGAAAGTAATTAAAGTTTCAAACTGTGTAATATTAAATAATTTCCACATTAACAGCTTATTCTGTCGGCTAGCTTCGCTGTTTCGTTTCAAAAATCATGCTTTTGGAAATGTTGCAAAGATAACCGTGCGATGTTTACAAGGCCTTACCCAAGCACTCGATTTGAGGTATATTGTTCAAAAAGTCTGGATTACCACAAATAGCATTTTGTGTGTTAGGAAAGTACTGATTTGGATTTTCAAGTCTTCGTTGCCTTTAAATTAAGTTTCCTTCTAGAACGCTAGTGAAGATAAATTCGGACATTGTGCGTACCGGTTTATTGACATTTTTCAATAATTGTGCGGATGACCTGTTTTCTGCTGTCGAAGAGCTTCGAAACAATGGACAGTACTCTTTACTGCGAGGCCAAAACTTGAAATCATGGGTATCACTGGAATTCGCTAATCAAATGATTATTCCTGTATTGACAACGATGTTTGTACATTTGGGCATAAATCATTTTGGCAGCGATTTGTTGTGTTAGTTTGTATTGTGTTTCTCTCAAAGGTCATGAAATAAACGATTTCAAAAATTCATCGGAAAACCTTTAGCAGCTTTGCTTTATATATTTATCTTGTTGCTTGTGTACTTGTTTTTTTTTTCCAGTGGATGAAATTCAAGCAGCATGTTATAAAATTCTAGACAGCGCATATCTCTTGAATAGTTTGGCAGCAACTACTTCGCAAAGAAAATCAATCGCTTATGAAATGGATAAGTATGTGCTGCTTTAAAATCTTTTTTAAGCAGGAACTAGAGCATAAGGATAAGGGACGAAAGGTTTTCAAAACCTGTTGCAATGGATATCAGGAAATATATCTGGAATCCACTCATAGGTTGTAATTTTATAACGTTGTAAATTTTATTGCAGACATCGTCCAGCTCTTGGTCAGTGCCTTGCAGCATTTGCTGGTTGCTTCCCTGTAGCCTTTCTGGAAGATAAGTTTAATAAAAATAATAAATATTCATTATTAGCCAAGTCGCAAGATCAATCCGTACAAGTACAAGGTTCGTTGCATTGAATTGAATTGAAAATTGATGAAGATAAGATTGTAAATGTTGAATGCATGATTATGCAAAATAAGTTTACGTAGAATAATCTGGCTCGGAGTATGAGGTATTTCTGAAAACAGTTGCAGTGCCTGTCTTTTCAGAAATGTAGGTTTTCATTACACGCTATAAATATTTTTGGATATTAGTTTTCCTTTGTTAAATTTAACATTGAATTTGCATATGAGTTTAGTATGGTTAAAGGGGAATTGGTTTGTCTTGAACTTAATAAGATGCTAAATTAAATTAGCTTAATCTTTCAGAAATGTTACAAAATCTCTTGGCACATATTCCACAACTGGATAAATTATTAACAGAAGTAGAACAAGTAGGACAAACAGATGTCATGTATCGCGATCAACCCGCTATCTATGATGTCGATTTACCACTTATTTGTTCCTATTTGACTTATTGGTGGCAACTTGGCCCTGACAGCAGTAACCGATCTACGTAAGATCTATATTTTGAAGTACTCGAAGTTTAAGAGTTGAATATTATTGCTAGTAAATATCGTTTACATAATAAAACCAGTTGCGACAAAGAATTAATGGATTCTCTGAGATCGATTGATAGCTGTGTACTTTCTTATTAAATCCCAAAACAATTCTGCAGAACTTCTTTGCCACAATAGGAAATTTCAGTTTTCAATACTCAAAATCAAGGAGATCACCTTATTTATTTATTTTCAGTTATATTTTACCATACCGATAAACTCTCAGCTCACCTTTTTTTTCTGCAGAGTTCTTGATTTTAGTGTTCCGGTTACGGATGTTGGCAGCGAATACATCAACCGAATCTTCCGTGTACTTCTTCAAATGATTCATAATCACATTGGTGTCGAAAATGCTTCCTGGCTTTGTCGGATTAATTTTTTCTCCGTCCAAATTACACCATACGTGAGTTGTGATATGGTGAAGGACTATATGCTTCCAGTTGCAGAACGCCTACGGCGATTGGCAGAAAAAGCATATAGAGAAGAAGAACACATGCGTACCCATCCTGATGATGCTGATGAAGGAACCGTTGCTGAGGTAACTGTAAAATGTTTGTTCTTAGAACATTTAGCAATATAAGTGTTATAACGCGGTTGTAACATGTACATGTTATAACACAATAATATGTTACAACTCGCATGCAGTTCATTGTGGGTCGCGATACAATGCAAGCTGCATGCATAGTACCAACCAAGCCCTTTTCATTTCATTGGTAAATCCTTAATTGCTTCGAATGTCTTTTAGGATAACGCCCATCTTGTACGTGACGTATACGCTTACTTTCCAGTCTTGATGAAATATACGGACTTGCATCGAGCACAGTGGCTTAAATCACCATCTTGGGAAACAGATGGGATTTACGAGAATGTTGCCGTCATTTTCAAGGTATTGTTAAGATTCAGTATAATTCCAGTTTTTTGAAGCATTTAAGATGTACATTCTCAAGGAATCAAAGTATGTTCAAACTTAAACAGATAGATTTATTTCTGCAAGATTGAATGGCTACCTATCCACTGCCTTGATGGACTTGCAATTGGTATTAAAAATTGACACAAGAATCTTTTCAATTTTACGTTGATGTATTTCAGATCTGGTCCCTCTCACAACATTTCAAGCGTGAAGAGTTGAATTTTATGGCTCAGTATGAGGATGAATCGGTAGCTGGTGGTACTGGTGAAATGAAAACTGGCAAGGCTGCTATTGCGGAACGCAAAAAGAAACGACGTGAAGGACAGGTACTTTAAAAGGTTAATGAAGAAGCACTGAAATTTGCGTATATTTCAATTCGTTCCCAGACTTGACTTGAACAAAGCTATGATTTATTCAGATGCGCAAAGATAAGCATGCAGGTTCGATTGTTATTGCTTGTCTGAAACGGTTATTGCCGGTTGGTTTAAATGTATTCGGTGGTCGTGAATTGGACATAGTACAACAGGCGAAAGAAAAGTTCTTGGCTAAAGAACCAGAAGACAAAATACGTGAACTTGTTCGTTCTCTTCTTGACGTACCAGCTAAGGTTTGTTTTAGGTGGTTAATTATGATCATGAGTTGCGGTATGATGGGGATAGAAATGATTAACATGTTCTTGGACTGTAATGTTGGATCGGAAAGACTCTTGTTTGAAATTTGAATTGAATGATTTTTCGAATTCGATGGTTGGATTTTTGCCATTTCAGACTGATCCGACAGATAAAAATGCTTGGCAGTTAAATCTTTATCGCAAAATTGGGAAATCCCAAATGCGGAATAAAGATGTAATGACGCTAGATGGAATAGTCGACAAAATAACAAGTATGGGTCAAGTGGTTGCTATTTTACACATTGTAAGTTATTTTCACTTCATTTGTGAATTAACACAACATGTATTTAATTAACAAAATTCAAACGAATTAACGTGATTTTTAAAATAAATTGAAATGAGCACTTTTTGCTTGCAGTTAGGATAGATTACAGTGCTGGTGTAATATAACCTTTGATGCATTAGGGGCAAAAGTGATGCAGATAACACTATTTAGTAGAATTAGCCTTAAGATCACAGTTAAACGAGGGACATTCGGATCTCCTGAATTTCCTATCTTATTACTTAGGCGGCACAACAACTTCTTTTCCATAATTTTGCATAACCCAGTTAGTATACTTATTCGGGAGTAGAATAATAATAATAATATTTTCCACTCCTTATTAGCTCATCATCCCTTCTCTCTCTTTTTCCCCCTTGTCCACGCCAGAGAACACGGAAATTATGGCCAGTATAGTTTAATGCTCAACTTTACCGCGAACAAAACACTGAAACGATGGGTTCAAATAGAGTAAGCTCAAATGTATTACATAGTTGCAAATATTGGCATCACTTATGCTTCATTGCATTAGTATATACAAACTTAAATGGCACGATAGTTCTAACAACACATATTCCATTTAGCAGTTTGATCTCATTACAAATGATCAATTTCACTTTAACCGTAAATGAAAATTTATCTTCAACTTGTCATTAGAAGTTCCGACGAAATTTTATGAATGTATTGTTTATGTTACAGTAACGCCATTCCTTATAAACCAGTTCTTTTTCAATTTCGAAATTGCTACTTTTACGACAAAATTTTTTACGTTATCATAAGAAAAGTGGTTCTTAAACCACTACATGACTAACTCATCATTAAATAATACTATAAAAGTGACTCGGGCCGTAGGTTTCATCGGGTTTTGCTTCTCTGATTGAGCAAAAGTACTATTTCGATTTTCAGGATTGTCTTCCTTTCAGTTTGCCTGTGCGCTTCAGGCTTCTTTTGTTTTTAATTTGACTTTTTGTTTTTTTAAAAAAAAATTCAATTTGTTTCTTAATTTACGTATCTTAAATTTCCAACGTCTTTATCACAAATCATTATCCTTTCACCAGTTGGGTATCTTTTTTATAAAAATTTAATCCACAAGAAGGCAACTTCAAGCGATCACTACGCATCTTTTATCACGAATTGTTTGTTACTGATGTTATCTTTCTCTTCTCTATTTTTAATCTTCCTTTTTTTGAGTGGAAAAATCGGTGGAAATCTAAACTATCCATGCGTCAATTATGTTTGCGCATAAATTCAAGCATTGGAATTATTGATAGAATTTTGATTTTATTTTAAAAACAGTTGCACTAGGGGGTGGTACTGGAAGCTCAGTATGAATAGATATCTTCCACTGATAGGTAAAATGCCCAGTGAATAATCCAGTTATCAAGGAATGAAGTAATCTGCTTTCAGTATGCATCATAGGTGCATTTGTGGTATTAAAAAAATTATGATTCAAGTACTTCCTTTCCAAGCGCTTTAATGCCTTGCATTTTGGCGGATAGACCATAAAATCCATTAAATTAATAGTTTTCGTCCCAACAGTAAATCCCTTCCACTTTCATTTCCTATTTCCTTGTTGCCATAGGCTTTAACAGTTGCATGAATGTCTTGAGATCTTTGAATTTTTTGGTTGCTTGCCGACCTCCTTCAATGGTTTTGAATTAATTGGCCGTTATGCTTTCTCCCCTTCAAAAAACTTCTGCCATCTTCGAAGAAGAATCTTCATCGATTCGTTGCTTTGGAAAGCTTCTTAAGAATCCAACGAATTAAAACAGAAACATTGATTTGCTAATAATTCGTGGACTTCCATCACTTCTAGATCATAAATTGAAATTTTAGCCTCTCGATTTCAAGAGTAAAATGACTGATATAGCTTAGCATTTGAAAAGTATAACCGATGAAGGATTTGAAAGGAACGATTATAGGACATGTGGCGAGTAGTTTAAGTTCTGGAAGGACAAATCACTAAATTCAATCGTAAAACGCTTAAGCCTTTGAATGACTGTTCGCTTTCAGGTTTTCAGCTTTGACAAATAATCAACCTGCTTCTACTTGCTTTTTTCTTTCTTTACTGCGGTTTTCACCGCCATTCCTAGCAGATGGCATGTGTTCATTTTAGACTGAACATCCACAAGGCTCAATGGTTAACGCTTGGAAAACGATGATATCCAGTCAACGGAAGAGAGCTGTCGTTGCTTGTTTCAGAATGATTCCACTCTATGGAATTCCGAGGTATTATATCACTAATGCTGTCGCTAAACAAATCAGTCAAATTTTTCGCTTCCCACTCAATTCTCCAATCATATAAACACCTGTGTTAGTTTTTTTTTTTTTTTTGCCAGATCATTTTTCTGTAAAACTTTGCTGCGCAGTTTTCGTCATCATCCCAACTAACTAATGAAGTCACCTAATAAGTGGTTATGTTGCAGCTCAAGTTAAAAAGTACACATTTACGTATTTCTTGCCCATAAAATGATGTAACTGTCTTTGAATAGCAACAATTGTAATTCATACGTACTTTTGTAAATGTCTAAACTTAAATTTAGTTTTTAGCTTTCCCCACCCTCTTGTTCATTAACCTATTCCAAAAAAGTTCCAATTCAAGTTTTAAGTTTTTAAGTTTTTTCATTTTAAAAAGTTCTAATTCAAGTTTTAAGCTATCGAGGACCTCTGTTGCATGATGTTTGCAAAACATTGTTTGTTTGCAACGACAAAATTGTTTCTGCATTGTTTGCAGTAATAAAATTTTGCGTGTTGCTTTTATCAAACGATATCATTTTAAATTAAACTAAGGAAGGAATGATTTTTCAAGGAAATGATGCGAGTTCTAACTTTTCATCGCTTAGCCACTGGCTGACCAACCAATTGGTATCGTAGAATTAGTGCAAAATAAGTTTCCAGTGCATGGGTATTTGTGTTTCCATTGTGCCTCATGCATGTGTAAGAGTGATTTGTAATATAATGTTTTGGTCAAAAGAATTGTTTTTCGTTTTCCATTCTCTCAACAGCCACATCAGTACAGAGTTTTACAATAGTTTAAAATTTCAAATGATGAATCAACCAAGAATAATAGCGCCTTTCGTCAACTGATTGGTATTTATGCAGAATTCGTCTTTTTCAATTTACCTGTAGCGGTGTGGCAGCTTATTTGTTAATTGGTTGGAATTGCAATTTCTTATGCTGTGCTCAATATGTCGTTGTTTTACCACAGGCAACCAGTAAGTTTAAAAAAGAAAGTCGATGGAGGCGTGTCCTGACACTGCAACGAAAACGTATGGCAATCAGTTTGATAACGGCAAGTCATCTGTATCGAGTAGAAATGTAAGCGTTGCTTTTTCAATGATACATAAGTAATCAAAATAGGAATGCTTCAACAACAAATAATAAGTAAGTGTTACGTTCTTGAAACATTTCGGCTGTCCTAGTCGTCATTTAGTTGTTATTTAAGTTAATCTACCAAGAAGCGATCACTTTTATGCCTCACTTTTTTCCCCTCTTCTCCAGATAATTCCTCAATGGAAATTTTGTTTTTGAACTCTTAAAAATATGCAAATTAATAATGTTCTTGATGAGCAATCACCGGAGTTGTTCTAGTCATGTCCATTTTGTGCCATTACTCTAAACTTACTTTAACTGTAAATATCCTGAATATAGACTTCGAGAAAAGTTCAGTTCGGTATGATAACTATCAGCTATCAAGCAAATGTCTAATAACAATGCGATCAAATTTTCGAAAGGAGTCAACTCTGCTGTCATTAAGTGGTTTTTCGAAATTGCTTCGACACTTTTTTCGTTTGAATTTTTTGTTAAGTGTAGCAATAAGATTAGAATTATGTTGTCCAAGTTAATTGTTATTCAGTTTGTCTACAGCATTAGTTTTGTTTACTTTTTCGTTTACTTATACTTGCTTTTTATTTGTATATATTTCCCTACTGACAGCTTTGTTTGCTTTAGGAATCTTACCCTCAAACTCACCCGAAATACTCCGAAAAAATTTAAAATTTTATAAAAAGCAATAATAATTTACCAGGATGACCTATATTATATCTACCACAGATTTACTACACTTGATTCCCAAAAACGCGTGAACTAAAAAACTGATTTGCAGTGTTCGTTACACGGCAATTTCTAACATTTCTGCTTTTTTTTTGAGTTTCTCTTTTGAAAACTTTGGTTCTCATTTACATCTGCAGGAAAGATTTAGAATTTCCTTTCGAAATAAAATTTTCATCGAAAATTATTGGATGAATTATGCTTAGATGGTTTGCTAAGCTTAAGCATGATGTCGTTTCTTTCAGTTTTAGAAGTTCGAAAAACTATGTCAACCCCTAGCTTTTTGCTTTCTGCGGAGATCTTCACTTCGTTTACTTCACTTGAACCATTTGGAAATTCCCAAGAATGACATCGCATTTGAAATTTATATTTATATTGCATCAATTTGCAATCTTTCAGACATCGAGCGATCAATTTTTTCTTGCCAGCATTCAACAAACTTTGGCTGGAAGATGAAGATGTTGGACAAGATGCACTGATCAAAGAGCTTATAGTTAGTAATCTTAATTATCTTAGTTTTTGTATTGTACGAAATCGTTGCATTCTGGAATAAGCAAGTGGAAGGATAGAGACATCACAAGACTATTATCAGACTCCGATTACGGTCGGGAATCCATATTCTGAAAAGTTCCACATGCTCACAAATGCTCTCCTCTATTTTTAATAAGCTGTTAACGTTTCAGATCATACCGTTATTGTACACCGATATCTTTTCAATTTTTCGAAATTGCTCAAGCACATCTTTCACCGTAGTTCAGTGCTATTCATCTGATTGCTATTCCTATTCAAACAAATTTGCATTTTAGGAGACAAATAAGAAATAGAACTGAATTCAGTAAATTGTTTTTATCTTAAAAGAAATTAAATTGATTGCAGTTAGAGGATGAAAAACAAGAACAAGCACACAGTAAACCTGGCGATGAGGAAGTGTTAAGTGACGAAAAAGACGAAAAGTGCTTTGTTTATACTAAAAAATTGCTTTCTTCCGGTTTTTTCACTATTATCTTTTACAATGCTTTTAATGTAAAGGAAAGATTTTGGTCCAATTAAAAGAGTTGCGTTGAAGTTGACAGGTTATAGCCATTACATAAAACATTGCTTTATAATTTTCAAATTAAGTCTAGTTCTAGGTCTCAAGCTCCTCCAGACCCATTGAGACAACTAATTCAGTGTTTCCAACGTGCAGCAACAAGTGAGCAAAGTCAAACGATCTCCATTGCCAATGATTCGCTGTTTGTAAATTTTGCTAAAGTGATGTCGAAATCAGTGCACATCGAAGATGAAGATGAAGGTGATGATGAGGGGGAGCTTGACCAAGCGGTTCGTTTTTCCACGGCAATCGATCTCTTATGACTGTTCAGCAGTACTGATCGCAATAGATCTGTTTTTAGATAAAGTTGCCAGGATCTAGTAAGGCTAAATATTTTTGTGGAAGGCATGTGTATCTCCATTATAAATGGATTTTTGTGTTTTAGCAAAAAGAAGAGATATCGCAAGCACTTAGGGCAGAGCAAGCAGTTTTGGCGGATCGCGGTGCAGCAATAATGTGTCTCATGTACCTCTCTGCTAGTAATGGTGAACCAAGCGATATGGTGGCGGAAGCCCTACAGCTGGGCATTCATCTTCTCAATGGTGGAAATAGCAAAATCCAGGAGGTTCTATCTCCAATGTTCTAAATTATCTCTGGAAATTAATAGATATAAATTATAGAATCTAACTGAACTTTGCGACAAGTGTTGTGTAAAATTTGAATGTATGTAACTATGTATCTTTTATCTTTCAAGAAAATTGTACCATTTTAAAGGAGCAATATGATTTGAAGTGCTGAGCCCATGCTTGTTATTTCAGAGGTACTGTAAGCAGGTAAGACACTAAGCAACTCTTCACTAATTCATCTAGTTCAAGTATTGAAATTTAATCAATTGTAACCAATTAGCAATCTACACCTGAAATTAGAACTAGGCGTACATGTTCAGAAGAGGATAACTATTATTTAAAGTATCAGTTAAGCAAGTGGCAACAACAAATGGAACTATAAAATACGATAATTACCTTACTGTAACGGTAGAAATTTCTTTAGTGCTAATGTTCTCTACAATCGTTGTAGATGCTGATCGGATATCTGCAACTGAAGAAGGATGTCCGCTTCTTTACTTCATTAGCTGGTTTAATGAATAAGTGCAGTGTACTTAATCTTGAAATGTACGAACGACAAATCAAGGTTTACCCTTCCCAATTCTATGATTTATTTCGCTTATTTTAAGATTTCTGATCTGATTTTTTTTTCTTTAAAATTCAATTGCAGGCTGAAGGACTTGGTATGGGTGCTGAATTAGCTGCTGCTGCTAATCAAAATCTAAATGATTCTGAATTTACATGTAGCCTTTTCCGATTTCTACAGCTGACCTGCGAAGGACATAATTTAGGTAATACTTGGAAGTCATCATTTATCCGCCTGTAATCATTAATTTAAACCAACTAATTTGGAAGAATGAAAAAGTGGACCTTTGAGGGTATCATCAAGAATGACAATTAAAATGGTAGTGGCCTAAAAGGTTCACTTCTTTTTATCTTGTAATCGTCTACATACTCCCTCATATATCCAGAAATCAAAATAGTGGAGCTATTGTTTTAAACATAATTTCTTTAGAATTTCAAAATTATCTTCGAGCTCAACCTGGTCATACGACAAGCGTGAATCTGATCAACTGCACTGTTGATTATTTGCTAAGGTTGCAAGAATCGGTGATGGACTTCTATTGGCACTATTCAAGCAAGGATGTAATTGATGAGAGTGGTAAAGAATATTTCCTGAGGGCTATTCATGTGTGCAGTCAAGTATTCAACACACTTACTGAAAGTATACAGGTGTGTACTTTCTTCCACTTTTTTTTTCTTTTGTGAAGGGATCCAAGATCCTTCATGTTAGTTAGACTACTAAAGATCTATAAATTAACAAAAAGAGGCATATGGACTTGTAGATAACGATGAATGGCATACATCACATTACTAAGGAAATGGAAAGAAGGAGGGAAGATGATAAATGAATTTTAGGGTCCTTGTACTGGGAATCAGATGACACTTGCGAACTCTCGTTTGTGGGACGCCATCAACGGATTTTTCTTTCTTTTCGCACATATGATGGAAAAATTGTACAAAAATAGCACGCAACTGGAATTATTAAGAGAATTTTTAAATCTGCAGAAAGATATGATTGTACTCATGTTATCTATGCTCGAAGGTATATTTCTTCCAGTTTAAAAAGATGATAGAATAGGATGTTGATATAAAGGAATAATAGCTGTTAGGATGTTGTTTACTTTGCTGTGGAAGGCTAAGAATGTAAAGCTGCTATAAAATCTTTTTCAAATAGGGACAAAAAAAAAGTGTAAAATGAAGCAAATACAATGGTATTCGAGTTCAACATTTTTTTCCCAATTCAGTAATATTGATTTTGTAATTTCTAGGAAATGTGCTTAATGGATCTATTGGTAAACAGATGGTTGATGCGTTAGTTGAAAGTGAACAGAATGTAGAAATGATATTGAAGTTTTCGGATATGTTTTTGAAACTGAAAGATCTAACAACGTCACAAGCGTTTCAAGACTTCGACACAAACCGTGACGGCTGGATTTCACCTAAAGAATTTCAACGTGCTATGGAAAGCCAGAAAATGTACTCTGTGTAGGTTTCGAAGTATTGAAGGAAGTTTAGTTGTTTAAATCAGAAGTATTTTATATTTTATAGTATTAAAACGAATTCCTTCTCAGTTTTTGCAATGACTCAAAATATCTTCCATGACAAGCTGAATGGATAGCGTTATTTGAGATTTCTAACTGAGATTTGCGCTACAACATTCTGTGAATAACGTCATTGGTTTAGCTAACAACTAATTCAAAATGACGTTTGTCGCATTCCAACTCAATTGAGTGACAAACCATTCAGATATTTTATTTCAGTGAGGAAATAACATATCTAATGATGTGTACAGATGTGAACAATGATGGTAAAGTGGATTACATGGAATTCACAGAACGTTTTCACAATCCTGCCCGAGACATCGGTTTGTAACATCCAGTTGTTTTACCAGTATTACTAACATGAGTTGTTGCTCAGCTAATTCGTATCTAAATTTGTACATATATCGGTAGGTCAAAATAAATTACTACTAATGTTGATGAACTTCCGCATTCTTTCGTATCTTTTGTTTTTGATTTTTCACAGGTTTCCATAATCCTGTCAGGACTGAAATATTAAAGGGATCAGGTACTGACTTAATTTCAAAGAAATTCGAGAGTTTTAGTACTCAAGAACCAGAAACTATTCTAAATAGTAAGAGTAAAACTTTAACAACTTTACAAAACTAGGTTTCAACGTTGCTGTACTACTTACGAATCTCAAAGAGCATATCACGAGTGATCCACGTCTGGAAAAAATAATCAAACAAGCCAGCAGTTTGTTGGAGTATTTCGATCCTTATTTGGGTCGAATCGAGATAATGGGCTCCAGCAAGAAAGTAGAGAAAATCTATTTTGAGATTCAAGAATCATGGCTGGAACAGTGGAGCAAACAACAAATCAGGCCAGTTTTCAAATTAGATAGTAGAAATTCTGAAAAACTGCGGTTTTGATTCTAAAAGAAATCAGGAAAAATTTTATGGAAGGTGTTAAACGCAAAATCATTTGTGTTGGTTGGAATTTGATAAATTTTCCTTTTTTCAACAACAGGATTGAAATACGAGCTTTTCAAATTTCAAGAACTCAGAAAATCCATTTCTTTAGCGAGAGCATGTCGCATTTATAAATAAATATAACTTGATAATTGTTTGCAGAGATTCCAAGAATTCTTTCCTCTTCAATGTGCTTCAGGATGATGGTGGAGATCAAGGAAAATTGGAGGCATTTATTAATTTTTGTGAAGATACTATTTTTGAGGTTTCTTTTGCGCAAGTCAACTCTGTTCTTTTTCTTCATTACCCTCGCAATTTAGTTTCCAATTCTTGTTGGGCTCACAACTCACCCTATATCCTAACTCGTAACGATGAGGAATAAAATTTAGATGCAATATGCAGCAGAAATCAGTGCTGGTGATATAGCGGATTCAAAAATTGAACGAGCTAAAAAACAGCGTGATTATTTTTTACAGCAAACTTCAGCTGGCGCGTAAGCAATTTAATCTCCTTGAACAAATTGTGATTTTAATTCGAAATTTCATCAAATTCATTATTGCTATTTCCCAGTTTATTTTATCTCATTCTTTATCTTTTTATGATTCTTTCTAATATTTGTAAGATCAATAAAGAATTGCGAATTGGATGTAAACTTCTAGCACTGGAACACTCCTTACTTTGTGTTTTTCTTTCCTTTAGTTCCATTATTAACTTATAATTGAAACTTATATCACTTTTTTTTCGTTTGCAGACAAATTTCGGCAACTTTTAAAACTGGGTTCAGCTATGGAATCAATGCTGCGAATGCTCTAAAGCCAGCAAATGTCAAGAAAATAGTTAGCACAGCTAATGCTAACTTTAGGTATGTATTTTATATTTCCATAAATCCACTTTCTGGAGAAAAAAAGCAAGTTTAAATACAGTATTTTTATAGTATTTTGTATTTTTGATGACAGTATGATATGCTATCTAAACTTCTATACTAGTCTAGATAATTAATCAATTATCACTTGAAATATCAGCAAGTGTCATGAAGCATGCTTGTAAAATTATAAATTCATGTGGGAATTCTAGGTCGATGACGTGGGCGCAGTTAACACTTGCCATTATTACTCTGTCAGCAAAAGTCTCCGTGAAAGTAGCGATGTTCATTTATCTGGTCAGCTGTACACTGTTCCGATTTGGTTATTATTTGATGACACCGGATCGTGATGAATTGGAGGTGGAACAAGCTGCGCTACCGATGCCTGAAAGGTTGCTATTTGTATATGAAATCTTCTAACACGAAGTACCGGCATTTTTGGATCATTCGATAGAAACAAACCAGAAAGCTGTTTTGACAGTTGATCCAGTTTTGTGCTGTATTAATAGATATACTTGAAGCACCGGCATGCCGCATATCTCTCCAGTTTGGCCATCTCTTCAGCAGTATCATCGTTCCTGTAATTACGATGTATTTGGTGTGCGTCTATCACCTACTCATGCCCAAACACCAACAACATTTCAAGGACAGTCAAAAGCTGAAGGTTTGCTCTTCACGAACGAATCATGAATTGTTATCAATAACAAACTACTGGTGTATAAATGTATCTCATATATCCCTTACAATCAACTTATCACGTTTTATAGTGACTTTGATTTCTATGTGATTGAATGACAGATGAGTTGAGAGCGGTAAATATGCAAAGGGAGGAAACATATCAGCTTGTTGGTAGACTACTCACTATAGGTAGATTATGATTGGCATTAGATGGATTTAATGAATAAATACCTTGATGGTTGTTATTAGCAGTTTGTTTCAAGAGACATATGCACAACCTTTTCATATAATAAAGGATGATACTTCCATAGTCATTAAATCATTTCATAAAAAAAATTTAGCTACAGATGCACCGACATCAGTTCAACAATCAGAAACCGTTTTGAAACCATCTCTGGCTGCACAGCAGGGTCCGAGGTGATTCGAATTCTGTCGTGGAATTTTCTTGCTTATCATTTCTAAAGACCTGTTAGCAGCTTACAGAAAAATTATCAAATCTAGTATAACTTTAACCATAATTATATCTAGTACAATTTTTTTTTTTCAAAAGTTGTTTCATTCCGTTCTAGTTTGTACGAAACTCAAAGCGTTAGCAGCATTGCTGCTCACTACAATCAAGTAGTTTCACCAACAATATCGGAATGTGGCGTTACTGATTATTATGAACCAAAAATTGCTGAACAAATTCCGCCACGTAGTCGAGGATCGCTACTTGTATGTTTATTTCATTTGCTTTTGTGCCTATTCAGTAATGAAACATGTGTTCTAAGACAAGCATATTACACATATATTACTGTTATGAATTCATTAAAAAAGACTTTATCATTTATATTCCAATCATTCATCTTTTCAAATTTTCAGAATATGCTGGCTCGTAATTTCAAGACAATCGAGAAAACTACACTATATTTAGCTTTCTTCATTAACGTTATTTTACTGTTCCATCGAATACGGATTTCGGATAGTGTAACATCAGTAGGTGATACTGGTAAGTGATACGGACTATTTACATATAGGAATATCTATAAACACCAAAAAGTAACTGTCAGAATTGTGCAATAAAGCTATCATATGTATTATGCAGATGAAGATATGGAATCAGTTTATATCAGTGGAGTGGTGTTGCCATACACATCCTGTGAAGTGACCGGTTGGATGCTAGCACAGGTTTTCATTCCGATCTTGGCAGAAAATCTGAGACCAAGTATAGCACAATGATGAGAGTTTAGATTGTTATTCTCCTGAAAAAATCAGTGAAACTATTTCGAAATTATAAGCTAGTGAGACTAGTGAGCTATTAATTTAGTCATCTTCCCGATCATTCTGTTTATCTCAAAGGAAAGATATAGGAGGAATATTTTATTTGTCTTAAAATTTTTCGCATCAAATTGGTTTGTATCCATTCAAGTCGATAACCCTAACTTTAATGTTCTTAATTTTTAAATCACTGTGATAAAATTAAAAGTTTTCTTCAGTTACTTTACTGGATAAGCGTTCTGCACGCTGTTGCATCGTTTGCTTTGTTGGTCTCATTCTATCAATTAAAGGTTGTCATTTAACTCGATTAATTTCGAAGAATTTTTTGACTTTCGGCTCAAACATTAAATTTCTTAGCTGATTGCCCATCAACTTAAGTAGATTAAATCTGATTTCTTAAAAATTTGTGACCATCAATTATTGTTAGATATGCTTGACTTGATATTTGTCATTGTTTTGTATGTATTAAACAATATGCTATACCAATCGTTTCTATGATCAAGTCATGATTTCTGTTTGAAAGTTTGAATTTTAAGTTCTCTGTCAAAATGTGAATTTCTAGATCCCACTCATAACTTTTAAACGTGAGAAGGAAGTTGCACGTCGTTTGATGTTCGATGGCTGTTGGCTTACCGAAGATGATGATGAGGAAAGAAGTTTGACGAATACTGTTTTCTGGTAAGATATTTTTGTCTTGCTTGCTGCTTCTGTACTACATGCGTGAATCTTGCATAAATTTACGTTCGAGGAAAGTTACAACTCGAGTTTGAAATAATTTTTTTATAGGTATATTGATCGTATTGTTATCAGTTCGAAATCATTTCCTATGAAATACTGGGATAAATTTGTTCGCCGGAAGACACGACAAAAGTTCCGTGACCAGATTGATGAAGAAACATTAATCACAGTCTTGGGCGAAGATAAACCGGCAACTGACACTGCCTTTGATTACAGGTAAACATGAGAGGGAAGTCTTGCCTCGTGATCCTTTCTTCATTCGCTTTAATGCATAACTTTAATTTTGGTCCTTTGGAGCTTTCAAGTTATAAATGCAAACTGGATGTAAATTATACCAAAAGTTCTATAAAGTATAAAATGAAGATGCTTTTCAATCCTTTGTTCTGCTTCATAAAAAAACATTTCGATTTCAAAAGACATCTCGATTTCTTTTTTTTTGCAAAGAAAGTTTCAATTGTAAAAATAGCAGTTAAGAGTGAGAAGAAATCAAAAATGTCACAACTCTCCTTTTTTCAGATATGCATGTTGGCTATGGCTTGGAGTTATTTTGACCAATGGACAGTTCTTGTATCGTGTCCACTATTTACTTTGCTCAGCTCTTGGTGTCTTCGTTTCCCCTTTCTTCTATGCATTTCACCTGATAGATGTAGTACTCTCTTTTCCCATGTTAAAAGCTATTTTACAATCTGTCACTCATAATTTGCAACAGGTAATTTGTTCTATTTAGCATGGGCAAAAGAAATTCATTTATTACTTGTTGGGAACGCTTAGAATTGAAATAATAGAGAAAAATGGAAATGGAAAACTTTATTTTTCAACTTGAAGAAATTGTTTATCAGCCACTGTTCCTTAGTACAGTGTAGAAACAGTTATCTATTCTCTAAAGGATTTAACTTCCTCACCTCTTTTGATCTAAACATATTGTTGCAGACCAACTTTGTTGACAAAAGTTCATTTAATTAGAAAATCACGAAATTTTGGATGATTAATTGATTTTTAATTTATTTCAGTTGATTTTGACAATTATGATGACATTGGTGGTTGTCTATTTATATACCGTGCTAGCATTTAATTTCTTCCGCAAGTTTTACGTGCAAGAGGGTGAAGGCGATGAACCACCAGACCGAAAATGCCACAACATGTTGACGGTTAATTAGTTATTTTATTTGCTGTTATTGACTCCGTCATTTCGAAACTGATAGAAATTTCAAAGAAACAATCCTTCAAAGGTCAGAAATATCAAAATTGCATGTAAATATCCAGTTTGCATCAATTTGCATGTTTAATATGACCCAAAAGATTTATGAAATTCAGGAACAGAAGGTGAGAGAAAACTAGTTACCGGAATAAATAGCTTGAAATGATTTAAAATAAAACATGAAAATGATTTAATCTTAAAAGTCACTGCTTTTTCCGAAATTCAAATCAATCGTTTCAGTGTTTTATTTATCATTTCTATGCCGGAGTACGCGCGGGTGGAGGTATCGGTGATGAGCTAGAATCTCCGTACGGTGATGATTTAGAATACTGGCGAATGCTTTACGACATTTCGTTCTTCTTCTTCGTTATCATTATTTTGCTTGCCATTATGCAAGGTTGATATTAATTTTTTTTTTTTTTTATTTAGGAAAGCAGTCTTTGAAGATCGACTATTTGAAATCAGTAAATATTTAGAGTCAGCAAATTTGATCACTTCAAATTGTTTCAGGTTTAATTATTGATGCATTCGGTGAATTACGTGATCAACAAGAATCAGCAACTGAAAAACTAGAATCATCTTGTTTTATTTGTGATATTGGCAAGGAAACATTTGATCGATTGCCGCGTGGCTTCGAGATACATACCTCTAAGGAGCATAATTTTGCTAATTATCTGTAGGTCTTTTTCTCTTGAGATTAGGTGATATAATGAAAGGGGAGGAACTGTAGTGGTTCTTGAAAACGTAAGAGCAAATTCTTAACATGTGCTGATGATGTATTATCAGTACATAAAGGAATTCATTTAGTAAATGGAAACAAATTTTCAGTTTTTTCCTTCAACACTTGGTGAACAAAGATGAAACGGAATATACAGGACAGGAGACATATGTGCGGGAGAAATACGATAATCGCGACTGGGAATTTTTTCCCGTTGGCGAATGTTTCATGAAACAGTACGAAGATCAACTGTTACAATCCTAATGCTTCAATTATGAAATTCGAGTGGAAGTTAATCCCAACAGATTTGATGTGATTCCGAAAGCAATTCTTGGACTAATTTTGAGATCCTAAATTATGCTTAGTTGAAATTTGTCTTTTAAGACTCACAATTTATTATACACTTATTGCTATCCATAGCGTATCTATTCATTTAAGGATTGTTTATTTGTTCCAAAAAGTTAAATCATTCTTTTTGGAAATTAGCCATTGCTTTGATTTAAAACTTTGAATTTGAATTCAAGTTTCTATCTCGATGTAAAACGAGCAGCTTCAATTGTGTTTCATTTTTTTCTCGGAGCACCCGTAAAACCCCCCTGTCTTCAACAGCAAAATTGATATCCCAGAAGCGGTGGCTTTTTCTCATCGCATTCTGCCCTGACGAGCAAAACTTTACCAGATGTGTGATTGCCGGTATGCCTTCTCTCCAGTTCTGCTTTTTATGTGCATGCTTATGTGTCTTCGGCGGATTCCCTGTCCATTATTTAAGTTTAGTTACTTGGCAGCATTGTTGGAATCGTTCCTCATTTTCGTGAACGCACTGCTTTACTATTTGTCTAGTTGAGATGATTTCAGTTGAGATGCGCTTAAAATGGAAAAATAGAATAAAAATTCACGTAATAATTTAATAAGTGCTGTTATGAATTTTCAAACTGGAAGTCTGGAGTATCCAAAAAAGTCAATTATAAATTCAGGCAAATCCAAAGATTCAAAATTTAATCTCCTGTTCTCTTCCCCCGTCTTCTAAAAAAAAATTTAGGAGAAGTCTCAGAGAATTTAGACGCTCAGTTTGTAATTGATCAACTTCCATTACTTTCATCTGTTTACTAACATATGTTCTCGCAATGCTTCTATTCGATGGAGAAAGTTGAAGAAGAAGCAAATGTGGCAATGTCACATCTTCATCAGAATACATTAACAGAACAATGACTCTTCCATAGCTTGCTTTGGTTTGCATTTCAAAATGAAATGTATAATAAATAGAAATGATCATGTAACAGAAAAAAAAAAAGAAATGGAACAGCTTGGATGCTGCCTGGGAAATAGGTTGTAAGATGATAGTAAATTTATCTCCAAATTAGTAACTTAAATGCCAAGATTCATTCAGCATTATCTAAAATGTGTTGTTCGGAAAAAACACCGCACTGGAGAAGGTAATTTCTCTTTCTATTCCTTACTTAATTTGCATTTTTATAAGAAAAAATCAAAGCAGGGGGAATAAATTTCCATTTTTGCTTATACAGCTTGTATTTATTTCCATTGATCAGCATCACTTAGCCAAATTCACCCTGCGAACAGCAAACAATTCTCGATATCATATATTAAATTTTACGCTTTTTTTTTTCTCTGTAGAAGATCCGATTTTTTTCAATTTTTTTGCACAAAATATTTAAAAAAAAAAAGTGGTGGTGTTAATGATAGCAATGATAAAAACCATACTGTGAAGGGCCGATAAAGGAAGTCACCTTCCTGATTGTTGGCTTTCATTTTAAATTTAAAAACTACCAGGAAGCTGTCAAACCTTGTTTTCTATTGCTTTCATTTTTGGCAATATTTTTACGGCTTTTGTCATCACCTAATCGAGAAGCTGAATAGTAAGTACCTCATCTACTCCAAGGTTCCCATCAAAGGTTCGAGTGATTAAGACTAAAAATTCTGACCTTAACACATCTACTGAAGCGATAAAATGTTTTTTTTTTTGAATCAGTGGTACTTATAGGACTCTGAGTGAAACTTGAAATAGCAAGTTTGTGTTAGCCTTCATATGACAGTTGATAAATTATAATGCTGACAACACTTGAATTATACTTGATGCTTGGTCTAGAATCCAAAATAGGTTAGGTGCATCATACAATAATAACTTCTATTCATTGTAAGAATCTTGTTGTGGCGTACTGGAATTCATCATCTTCTTTGACACATGGGTGTTATTTTGTGATATCATGCTTCTTCTGTGTCTTCAAACATATTATCATTAAACTAAGCCTATCATAACGTCCCCCTTACTTACAGTAGCATAAATTTTCAGAAAAGCAAATGTTTGGCCACTCTTATTCCTTGAAATACTATTTACTAATTAGATGAAGCAAGCAAATTAATCTATTATATATATTTATATATACCTTTTAAGAGCGAATAGTTGTTACCTATTTTCACTCCCATAGATCTTGAGAATATTAAACTGATGATTGATACCAAATAGTACAAGTATTTTCACTAGTTAACCTTCCTTTCATTGTATGATTGAAACTTATACTTCATATAAACGTTGATGCTAGGGTACCAAGGAAATTTTTTTGGTAAACATTAATTTTTCAACTTATATCAGTGATTGAAAATAGTTTTGATTTGTTCAGGGATCCTGAAGATCTTAACATAGTAAAAATATCCCGTATTTACTTTTTCAGTTTATCATCCTTTAGGTTAAATAAAGTTTTAATTAGTTAACTTTACATCCTTCAATTCTCGTTACTTCTCATGTTTGTCATCTAATATTCTGGTCTGGTTTTATTGTTTATTTCAAATTTCTAATGCTTTTGATTTCTGATTTGTGTACAATACTTCTGAACTCCAAATGTTTGCAAAAAGCAAGATAGATAAGATTTTCAAGTTGATTGTCAAAGCTGGTAGCTTTCCATAATTCACAACTATAGCAGAAAGTGACGACGACATACTTTTGATTATCGTATTCGTCGGATTTATATTGAAACAGCTGTAAAAAAAAGAAAAAAGTGTTTTTAAAATCAGAGCAAGGATATTTTTTTAGTTCTTCCAAATAAAATTAAATTCAAGTGAATAATTAAACTTTCAAGAAATAAATAATCAAATTTTGTTTCTAAGGAATAACTAAATTACTAATTAAATAATTATAGTCAAATATGTAATAAATGATATAGATGTGTAACATTTGTATAGCTATATCATTTATTGCATAGACGAATACATTTATTAATTAATGATTAAAACAAATAATTGAAATGATTAAAATGTGAGGTTATCAATTTACCTATTTAATTCCAATAAAATGTTTCATATCGACTCTTCGGGCTGCATCCAAATCCGTGATGCTACAATGATTACACTGCAGCTACGAAATTATCTTTAAGAGTTTTGCGTTTTCACTCTTCAAGCCAGTCCTGAGAAACATTTGTGCCCCTGATAGGCATACCCTGCTTGAAAATGCAATCTTTTTTCCATTCGGATTCACCAAAGCCGTAAGGTAACGGGAAACAGACCAACAGTTTAAAAATTTAGTTGGTCTTGGACAGACAACTTTTATTCCTGGAAATTATTGGAAATTTTAAATGGTTTACGCAAAAAAGACTATCCTTGAACAATATAAATAGATAGGGAAGCAACTGAAAGCCAAGCCTAACAAATAATTGAAAAATATAATAACTAAAATTTTTTATACGTGAGTGACCAAATATTTTGATGATGTTCTTGTCCAAATGTTGCATTGTATAATCCTGAAAGAGGAAAAGCTAAAATTTAATTTGTTGTTATTTAATTTTCAAGCCAAATAAAATGAGAAAATTCGGATGAAATGATATGATAACCTATTAATATTTTTAAATGTGTCTTACAAAAGTCTAAATTTTGTCATTTGCAAATATTGCGGGGATGAAATTTAAAGTGTGAAAGTGATAATATCCGCAACTAAAATCTATTGTTATTTGGTTACATCTGCAACATTCCTTCGAATCGAATGAGTTACTGAATGGATTTTTGATGACTTTTAGGAAGTCTTGCGGTTTCTGCAGATTTTAACAAATGAATTTGGATCAAAGGTCCATTTTATTTTTTGCCGTTACTAAATATAAATTCACAAGTTAAGTTTCATCTTGCAATGCACAAAGTCATTCTCATATTTCGTGAAGGTGATATTTGTAATAAGGAACACTAATAAGGACAGATGAGAGGCAGCATTTCTTGAATATTAATAATGTGGGCAAGCACTATAGCGCCGTGCTCACCGATATTTCAGCTGTTCGCCTGTTGCTTCAAGCGATCAAAGTCACATGCTGTTAGTTTTTAACTTTTATAAAGGATTAACCTTACCAAACTTCTGCCTATGCTCTTTCCTGTCTTTGAAAATTGCTTTAGTGATATTGAATAAACAAAAATTTCAGTCACAAAGTCCAAATTTTCATTCCATCTTTTGTCACACTCTGGAGAGGTCATTTTTGTCCACCCGAAGTTTACATGCTTGTTCCAATCGTTCCTCCATGTCTTATCTTTTTGTTTGATGAATACTTAACAACTTCCTTGGCTGCCATTATTCAAACAGTCTTTCTTGATCACCATTTCTAGCATATTATACAAAGTACGGTTCTCAGTGATCTAGTGCCAAGCGTATCACATGGGACTTCTGTGCAGCCAAATATCCCATCCAAAATTGTTGATGATTCACCTTTATTTGGTAATATTCACTACAAATTGGACTACGACTTTGGAAATAACAAGGTTAAGTTTTCATTGTATTCACTTTCAATAAGCCAAAACTTCAAACATTCATTTCAAGAAATTTGCTCACATTACTGTACTGTTCTTAGTATTCCGATCCATGAAGAAATTCAAAAAATCTGTTCTTCCATACCTTTGCATAAGCGAACTCGGAGAATGATTTGCCTTTAGCGACTTACATACATTTAATCAAAAGCTGGTAAGGTTGCAATACATGAAAGTGATATATTTAAATGATTCTGAATATTTCCCACATAGAAATCTTTTACTGCAGCTAGCAGTGACAATTTTTGAGTGTACGGGATTACCAGCAATGGATAGGAATGGAATGTCAGATCCATATGTGAAACTATATCTGCTGCCGGAAGGAAAGCCAAAATTTGAAACAAAAATTAAACGGAAATGTTTAAACCCTATTTTTAACGAAATGTTCGCCTTTAATGTAAGCGCCGTTTTTTTCTTTAATATGACTTCTATATTTGATATCTCTAAGATTATTTCTTTCTGCAAAAAAACAATACAGACGGTTTCCGTTATGTTTTAAAATCTTCAAATCTTTGCTTTATAGATATCATTTGCGGAGCTTCAGTGTAAGACACTTCAGTTGGTTATATATGATTTTGATCGATTAAGGAAGGATGATCGAATTGGTCAGCTATCGATACCTTTGGAAAAAGTTGATTTTGGTATTACTGTCGAGGAATGGTCTCGATTAAACCCTCCAGAACATGAAACTAACTTAGTGGGTTTTCAATTGTTTAGTATGGACTTTGAGAAAGAGTGCCCGTTTAGGACAGTTCAAGTCATTGGAAATATTAATGAAAATCTCACAAAATACTTTGGATAAGAGAACGAGGCAATTCTGTACACAGGCAACTTTCAATCAAATTTGAGAATCTTATAATATTTTAGGAATCAAGACTTGGTGATCTTTGTTTTTCTTTACGATATCGGCAAAGTACAATGGTTTTAACTGTAACAATAATGGAAGCTCGGAATCTTAAGAAAATGGATGTTGGAGGGTTGTCAGGTGATTAAAACATTTCAAACTTTCATGTTTCTTGAAATACAGTTCCTTGCTGCGTCTAATTGTAACTTTTACGCTCAGTTTTAGATCCATTCATTAAAATGCATTTATATAATGGACAGAAATTGATATCGAAGAAGAAGACAACACGAAAATACAAAACACTAAATCCGTATTACAACGAAAGTTTTCAGTTCAAACTGGAACAAGAATTATTGGAAGTGAGTTTAATTCAGATTTAGTTTATGTTTTAAGCTACTCTCATGTTTGTAGTTTCAATAGACTACAGTAATATTTTGATCGATCCATTGCTATTATCAGTTATCAGTTTACTGTGTTCGGAAATATTCTTTAACTCAAATTTTTTTCCAGAAAGTGCACTTGGTTATCAGTGTTTGGGACTATGACAAGATGAGCAAAAATGACTTTATCGGTGAAGTAAAACTTTGCTCTCCATCTCTTAACGACTTCACAGTTAGTATCACTAGCCAGAAACAGTGGCTTGAAATGATGAATACTAAGAGACCCGCTGTTCACTGGCATACCCTACAACCGAGATCATGATTTCCTATCATTACAGGTCTCTTTTGATTATAATTGTACTGATTTCTTAAACTGGTGACACGAAGTATTGAGCAATAAATAGGAAGTTAAAGTAGAGTATGCGAGAAGATATGCCGTGACAAGTGAATTCGATTGAAAAGACTAGCAGAGCAATTGAAATTATTTCGTTCATTTTAAAGAATCGTTAGCATTTTTATAAGGAAGTTTCGGAAATTTCATATTTTCCTTAACGCACAAATAAATTTTATGGTTTTTGCATAAATTAAAATAAATTAAAATAAAAATAAATTTTTTGCAAAATAAAAATGTGTGGTGTTTTTGTCACTTGCTTGTTCATTTTGATTGTAATTTTATGCTGTTCATAATAAAGAACAAATTTTTTTCTACCGCTTGAAAGCTTCATTGAACTCAGTCTTTTTTTTCAATTCCAACACAAAATTAATTCTCGCTTTACTTCAGCACTACTTCCACTTTAACAATCCAATGCAAAAACATTTTTTGAGAAGAAGTATTTCTTCATGTCTTTAAAAAACTACTCTTCTTTTATATGCATCAGTTTTTCTTTCATTACAAAAAAAGCGGCATTTCTTGAAATCTGAATGAAATCAATCAAATCTAATTTTCAGTCAATGGAATTGAAATTGGAAGTAACCAATGGAAATTTCATGAAAATTGGAAGTATAAATGGATAGGAATGCATCGTTTGATCATCCTGTAGTATTTAAGACGCATTTCTCTGTTAGATTTCTAATGTTTCACATAAATAAAGTTGTACTTATGATCCGAATTTCGACAAATATAATTAAACTGTGCTAAATTCTTCTTTAGTACCTCCTATCCATGCATCCAGTGCCAGCTTACTTTTCATATTGAAAATTATCTACATAATGTTTCTTTCATTAAATGTACTTGAACAGAAAGTGATTTCTTCTATTACTAGTGGCTGAAGCGATGTTTTTAAGACATTGACAGTGTTTGTTAAAGGTTTATTTTTGAATTATATTTCTCAAAAATGTTTTGTGCAAATTGAATTTTGGATATTCTCGAATTTAAGGAAGAAGCAGGTAAAAAGTTCATTTTTCGGAATGTTTGTTAATTCACTCAGTTTGTTGTTACATGCTGAAAAATGAATCTCAATATATCATTCATTAATTTCATAATGCACTTCGGAAAGGATTTTGTTTTTTTCTAATTGGAAATTCGATGATATCAGTCATTGAAAGAAATTCGCTTCCTATCATTGGTTTCAATAAAACTTCCATAATTCCACCTTTTCTGAGGGGTCATATGTCGTTAGTGAGTCTGAAAAGTTTTCTCTGGCGACTATTAGCAATTAATTAACCAGCTAAAACGAAAATATTTGTATTTTGTGTTTTGTTTACGACTTCAAATAATCACAAGCAGCATTATTTATATTATTTAATGCACGCATCTATGAGCAGAGAAAGTGGAAACCGGATTCGGTGACAGGGTTGTCTGCGTGACGCCCATGTTAAATTTTTTGTCACTTCTACAACGTTCCACTCTTTCGCTTCTATATCTGTCACGGTATCGTTGCCATAACAACCTCTCCTATAGAAAAGTGCAAGATATCGATTGTAGTGATCGATTTGTAAGTTGGATGGTACACCTGCATATGCATGTCTATTATGCAAAATTCACGCAATTTGCTTTAACCTTTAACTATGTATTATTAGTTCTGTCACATAGACCGTTGCCACTTTTTTTATAAACAATGGTATATTTATAATATCTTAGAAGTTTTCTTATCCCACCTATCTTATATCATCTATTCTACCTACCTTATGTCGTAAAAGGATGGCTTTGGAATTGCAAGGGTTAAGAAGATGAAAGAGTGGAATGAAGAAAGAAGGCTCTGACAAAAAAAAGTCCAAACTGATATGAGTAAAGGGAGATCATGTCTGTTAGGAAAAAAAAATGGAACTGACCAATATGCAAAATGAGTAATTAAGATTTGAATTTTATGCGTATTTTTTATGATCCAGATGTGTCTGATAAATAGTATTGAAGATTATCGATTAGTGCTAAGTGACGAAGTATATTACAGACAAGATATGCACCACCAATGACCATATATCTTTTCATGTTCCCTAATTTTATCGATCAGCTAAAGATCAAAGATCCATTTCCAGCACCCCTCCTTATTCACCAATGAGGTCAGTCAGTTTCACTGCTAAAATTAAGGGACCGATCCAAAGGGGAAAGTATCTGTTTACTGATATTTCACTTATATGTTTATTTACTTATTTCCTATTAGTTAATTTTGATGTTATGCATATTTGAATTCTCAGGAATTACGCGCTACTCTGCGCTGAATGACCGGATGTCACCCATTAATTACAGGTAATTCTGAGAATAATTATACTTCGTTTAGAATATAATTCTCAAAAACCAGGTGTGTTGGAATCTTACAAATGACGTTTTGGAGTTAGTGTTGTTCACTTCTATTTGTCTCACAAATATGGCAAACTAGCGGTTAAAAACATGGGAATATCACCACTTTTGTACTTGCCAATACCTATATATATATATATATATATATATATATATATATATATATATATATATATATATATATATATATATATATACTATATATAGTATAATATATATACT